TCATTCAAGGATCCATGGACCTAGAACTGTGATGCTTAGACCCTCACGTGGAGCACATGGCGTCCGGCATCTCCTGCGGACCCAAGAACTTCCCATAAAGGGTACCTGCATCCGTTGGGATAGCTCTCAACATAATACCGAAGATTACGTTTAGAGTTTGGGGGTCTGGTTGAGGGAGTCAAGTCAGACTTCCAGGGGACATGTCTCAAATAGTCTTGTTCCCTTGAAGTTAACAACCAAAAACAGTCCTTAAAGAGATGGATTGCATGTTTCTGAGGTATGGCAAGCTCAACTACTTGAGCTACACGACTGGCCATGGGACGAAGAGCGTCCCACCGACGGCTGAGCCTGGGTGTTTATGCTAACAGACTTTCACCGCTGGCGCTAAAACCCTGAACCCTGAGCCCTAGACTTTAGCCCTAAACCCTAAATCCCTGGGCACGCCTCTTTTTGGGGGAGCATTTGGGGGGGGGGGGGGGGGGGGGGGGGCAATCGTTTGCATCGAATGTCTTTGTTTGTTGTTGAAGCGGGGTGGGGTGGGGCGGATTTAGGGTTTGGGGGTGGGGTGGGGTGGATTTAGGGTTTGCCCAGTTCTCCAACTAGTTGTAGTTCCACTTCGGAGTTGCCTAGTCTTTGGGCACAACGACAGCGCTGGATAAGACGGGTCTACTTTTTGATGAGGGCTTCCTCGGCTTCTCAATCAAAAGCTGAGGAGTATGACGAGTGGCTGAAGAAGCTGCCGGGCGGCAAGCAAAATCGGCCTTGAAAGGCATCTGTCCGAAACCCTAACCCTATATAGGCCCCATAAACCCTATTAAACCCTAAACCCTACAGACCTTGTACCCTAAGCCCCAAAAACCCTATAGACTACCCTATACCCTATACAATACAGACCCTAAGCCCTATTCCCTAAACCTACAGCCCATAAACCCTGAACCCTGCATACCCTCTCCTTAGAACCCAGTCTCATCCGAAGACTTAGAGCAGGCTGTTTTTTTCACTTTCTTACGGTTTGGGCTTTGGTAGATAAGGGGCATGTAAAGGGTCCGTTAAGGGCCCATTCTAAGGGGCCATGCAACTACCCTTAAAATCTCAGCCCCAGACGCCAGAAAACCCTACAAATCAGCCCTCAGAACCCCCTGAGGCCACTGGGCTCTTAGTAGGGAACGAGGGAGCTCGGTACGAGTTCCCCATAGATCTCCTTCAAGGATATATATATATATATATTTATTTATTTATACATACATACATACATGTTGTTTTATCAATATACATATGTTATAGAGGGTATACATAGGGAGATATATGGTATCTAGCTCCCTACACCTCACAGCTTGGCCGACACGCCACAAAGCCAGCAAGCGCCCTCTCGTGCCCCAAAACTGCAGCGATCCTCTTTTTTTTTTGGGGGGGGGGGGGGGGGTAACGGGTTGGGTTTAGGGTTTTGGGTTGGGCCCGAGGGACACGGTTGTCCCCTTCAACTGAATCGTCGTACAGAGCGTTCAGCGTTTTGTGTTTCCCTTCGCGCCGCCCTCAGAAGTAGGAAGGTGCAGGCACGTACAGCACCTTTCCGAGACAAGTAACCTGAGACCTGGTAGTATGGTTAGTGCAACATAGTGAGACAACTACTTTTTGGGTTTCGGAGCTACAGTTTGGGGGGGGGGTTCCATGAATAGATCCTAGCAATCCTAAACGCCCGAATAAAGCAGATCTGCGTTGAGCGTGGCCCTTGGCTTTTTTGACTTAACCCAACAAGCCTAATACTCCCATACTACGGAATGTAACTTAAACGAGAGTGTGATGTAAGGTATATTTCCTCAAGTCATGGGCAACACCGCATAGCCCGGGTTCGCAAGCCCCCCTAGGCCCAAAGCCCACGGAGGGACGTGTATAAGGGACCTTAGGGGTTATTTGGGGGCTACTTCGGTATATAGGGACTATAATAGGGTATGTATTATATAGGGAATAAGATTCAAGGTCCCATGCTTGGGGTCCCTCCTTAGATTCCCAGAACCCTAAACCCTAAAACCTAAGCCCAGGTACAAGCTGCGAAGAACTTTCGGAGCCAGTTACGGAGGGCTGCCGTGCGCTACCTGACATGGCGCAGGCGCGGATGATTGTCTCAACCCCATCCCCTAAACCCCGAACCCCGAACCCTGAACCCTTAACCCTTAACCCTTAACCCTAAACCGTCCTACCAGCCTCCCAGACAGATCCTAGCACGAAGCCCACCTGAATTGAACAGGCTCTTGATGCTAAGGGCTGCTGAGAGGTCTATAGGCTCAGGAAGGCTTCAACCCCAAAACCCCCAAAAACCCCAAAAACCCCCGAAACCCCAAACAAAGACCCCAAAACCCCCAAGACCCTAAACCCTAAACCCCAAACCCTAAACCCCAAACCCTAAACCCGAAACTCTAAACCCTAAACCCTCAACCCCAGCGCCTGGGCACCTCGAGAGCTCCTCGAAGTCGGAGCTCACGAGGCGGATCCGCGGGCATCGATTTCCCCTCCGAGCCCATGATCGCCATCCTCTTCGCCAAGGCTGCCGGTAGGAAACTACAACGGGTTTCAGGGTTTTGGTGTGATTTGTTTGTACATCGATGCAGGGTTTAGGGTGTTTGGCGTTTTGGGGTTTTAGGGTTTTGGGGTTTGGGGTTGTAGGGTTTGCGTTTGTTTTGGGGTTTTGGGGTTTGGGGCTTTAGATTTCTAGGTTCTTTGGGTTGGGGGGTTTAGGGTTATGGGGTTTCGGGGTTTTGGGGTTTTGGGTTTTAGGGGTTGGAACTACAATCTGTGGGGGGGTAGTTTCATGGGCCCTTAATATGGTCCTAACCTGCTTTAAAGGGTTCTGATGTATGGGCCCTAGGTTTGTATAGGGTACATCAGGGGTATATAAGGCAAGGGGTACCCTTTCAAGGGCCATACTAAGGGGCCATGTAGCTACCCTGAATTAGATACAAGCGGGTTTAGGGTTTTAGGGTTTAGGGTTTGGGGCTTGGGGTTTGGGGCTTGGGTGTTGTTTTTGGTTTGTAGTTTAGGGTTTGGGGCTGGGGTTTAGTGTTTGCGGCCGGGGGGTTCAGAGTTTAACGGTTTTAGGGGTCTGGGGTGGTATGGTTTGAGGTTTAGGTTGTTTCTTCAGGGTTTGGGGTTTCAAGGTTTTAGGGGTTAGTGTATGGCGTTAAGGGTTTGGGGTTTTAGGGCTTAGGGTTCCGGGTTCAGGGTTTCTCCACAAGCCCCAGTCATCCCTAGGATCTGCCGAACTCTATATGAATTTAATGGACAGTATATATATATATATATACATATAGATAATATGTTTACAAATATATATATATATATATGTATGTATGTATGTATATGTATATGTATATGTATACGTATACGTATACGTATATGTATGTGTATTTATATATATATATATATATATATATATATATATATACATACGTACATAGTACGACCAGAGATGTCAAACCCGATATAGCACAAGGTATCCAACATGTGCAAAAGTGTTATAACCCTATGAGCAAACGCTAGCACCCGAACGATGATCGAAGCGCCGAAAAGCTCTTTAGATCATCTCGAACCCTTAGAAACCCTATAAACTCATCAACCCTCTAAAGCCCCCCAAAAACCCTCAAACACCCTAAAATCCCCATAAAAACCTACAAACCCTACAAACTCCCTAAACCCTAAACCCGAAACCTGCAAGCCCTCTATAAATCGTCGAATTCCCGAAACAATCCAGGCCGCACCGCGGCCGCGCACAAGCTGCTCCAGGACATTTGCGCGCCAGCGCTTCAGGGGTGCGCCCTGAGGAGAAGCCGCCGCAGGCTGAGACAGCACTGCCAACAGAGGCTTAGGGTTCAGGGTTTTGGGGTTTTGGGTTTAGGGTTTAGGGTTTAGGGCTAGGACCCAGAGTAGGCCCTCATTCCCTTTCTTGAGGGTCTAGGCTCCCTTGCACGCCGGGCTCATCTTAAGAGTGCAAAATCCCACTGATTGATATCGGAGTTGGAATAATTACTAATCGTATCCCCTTATGGTCCTTCTATAAATCTCCTATAATTAGCCCCACAACTTCTTGTAATTAGTAAGTCCCTATATTAGACACTGATTAGAGGTGCTGTGGCAGTGCTGGCGACCAGGCTGAGTAGATTGGAGGCAGGTCGTGAACGTCAAGGACGCCCATCCCTCGAGCAAGAGGCTGCAGGAGCGTCAGCAACAGATGGAAACAGGGATACGGATTTGTGCTGGCTTGGTAGGTCCTTGGTACATCTTGTATTTTCTTTTCTTGGTTAAAGAGGATCATATTTGGCAAAAAAAAGTCAGAGGTTTTAAATTAAAGGACTAGCCTAGGCTGGTTGCGAAGAGCTTCCCCATGAGGGAGGGTGCATAAGGAATTTTAGGGTTTAGGGTTTAAGGTTTCCCAGAAAACCCAATATCCCTTAATTATTAAGCAAATACACCTTAGGTCCTTTATAAGTCATATTAGGATCCCTATTCTGACTTTAAAGGTATTCCTTACAATCAAGGAGCAGTTGGGCTCTTTGGGTTCACTTCAACCAAGTTGGTTCAGTCACCATAAGGCCACGGAGTGCGCTTTTGGTCAAAGGGTGCCTTGCTGTATAGTGTTTTGGGCTTGGGGCATACCTTAAGAAGCCAAAGCCTACTTCTTTGCAGGTTGCCGAAGAATCTAAATAGGGGGAAGAACGTACAAAAAAAAAGTAGGTTTTGGGTTCTAAGGGTAGAGCATTCCAGAGGTTCGAATTCTAGTAGGAAGGGCAAGGGCTCGAACGTGCACCGCATGTTTGCACCGACCACCTTCTGGCTCAGGGAGGGCACATGCACGTGCTCCAGGCCTTACTTGCCCGATGCGTCAGACACAGAGAGCCCAACACCCTGCAATTCACGGACATGCCTTATAAGCTATTTCAGGATCCTTATTCTAAGTTGTGCAACACGACGCCCGCTTGAGCGCAGTGCGTCGGCCAGGGCTCACCGCCATGCGCGCCTGGGCTCGATGCGTCGGCGTGAGGCGGCTGGGCGCACGTGCCAGCGGCTGGAGAAGGGTTTCTAGGTTTAGGGTTTTGGTAAGCCCTATAAACTCTAACCCTAAACCCAGTTGCAAAAAGGGTTTCGGAGAAGGGGGCGGTGGTGTTTTTGAGGTGTTGGGGGCGTCCGCCGTAGAGCCCAAATATGACCCCCTGTAGCCAAAGGCTCGTGGTGCACATTGCTGCAAAGGGTGGGAAGAGCATGAGGATGGGTAAAGGCAGCCAATACCGCTAATCCCTGAACCTCGTAGAACGCAAGTCTATCCTCGTTGCAGTCTCGCTGTTTTTTTGGGAGGCTTTTGGGCATTTGGACTGTTTGGTTTCGAAGGCCCTTAACATGGTCCCTTACCTCCTGTAAAGGTCCTGAAGTATGGGCCCCTAATTTGTATAGGGTGTATAAGGAGGCTTGTTCCGCAATGTTCCCAGAGACTCCAAAACCCCTTAATTAAGGAATGCACCTTAAATCATATTAGGGTTCCTATTATAATCCTTGATTAAGGAGTTTTGGAGTCTCTGGGTTTTTAGGTTTTAGGGGGCGGGGGGGGCTTGTTCCGCAATGTTTTTTGTCCAGCCAGATTCTTTAGAAGGCTGACTCAAGGATTCCCTTGCAGGTTCAGGGCCTGGGGTTTTACCTTAAGAACCCTCAAGCTACTGTTTTGTAGGTTACCTTAAACCCTAAACCCTAAACCCTTTTGCCTGAGGCTGCAGCTCTGCCACGTCCCGCCTGCCGCCTTGCTCACCCAAGTCTGGCATCTTGGTAGCTGTGGGTTTAGGGTTTTGGGTTTTGGGTTTAGGGTCGGCAGCCTCCAAGTTCCGTTGCTCAAAAGGGTTTAGGGTTTAGGGTTTAGGTTTAGGGTTTAGGTTCAGGTCTGTCGCTTTTGTTGGGGGCTTTTGGTTCTCTTAAAGTAGTACTCAACTCCCCAAAAAGGGTACCCTTCTCACAAGATGGTTGCTGGGCTACCAAGGCATGACACCGGAGCAGAAAGAGCTTTATGAGCCTTGGCGGCATTTCCGGGGGGGGGTGGGGGGTGTGGGGGGGGGAGAAGGGGTTCTGGGAGCCCAATACCCCTCGGATTGAGAGCGTATCGTGGATCATGTTCGTTTAAGGTGTCATATTTCATTAAAGATATTAAAGGGGTTTCGTCATTATGTGGGCTCTCCGGGCACTTCCCGTTGGGGGTTCTTGAGCAATAACCCTAAACCCCAAACCCTAGACCCTAAACCCTAAACCCTAAACCCTAAACCCTAGCTTAACCTTAAGAGCCCTCAGCTGCAGCGCACGGCGCAAGGACCGCATCATCGATGATAGGGGGAAGACCGGCGCCAAAGGCGGCATGCTTGAGGGACGTGAAGGGGGTTTAGGATTTAGGGTTTAGGGTGTAGGGTTTAGGGTTTGGGGTTTGGGGTTTAGGGTTTGGGGTTTGGGGTTTAGGGTTTAGGGGACCTTTTCAAGGGACCCTAGTGATATTCAAAGGGCGGGGCTATGTTGAGGCTACTACATCACTGCGCCACTGTGCGTCAGCCAGTCAATCTTGCAAAGGTTTTCAAAGTTTTACTTAAAGGGATTAATTCGGTAAAGGGTTATTAATTGTGGTCCTCCAATTTGTTATCTGGCATAACTAGGACCCCCAGTGGAGACCAGAACAACCCGAGTGCATCATGCACAGGCGGCTTTGCCGTGACGAATGACGACGGCTCGCTCGTACCCTGGCTGGCAGCTCTGTGCCTACTGTTGCTGCCCATACCACACATCCTAACCTTGATCCCACTTAAGTTTATGGTTTAGGGTTTAAGTTTAGATGGGTGCCATCAGAGATCTCAAGCTCTCGCTGTTAAAATTCCTAAGCCTCCTCGCCACCGGACAAAACCTGAACCCCAACCTTACGAATATGTGGATTCCGAAAACAGGGGTCCCTTTCAAAGGAACAGGGTACCCCTATTTTCGGAAACCTCCTTATTTGAGAAGCGCCAACAACCAGCTCGGGCGGCTTTCTAGGAAGCCCAACAGTACCTGTTTGCTTTGTTCGGGACGGGGGGGGAGGTGGGGAAGGGGGGGGGGGCCGAAGCGGGGGTTTTGGGCTCGTGCATAAACCTTGAACGATGGGTGTTGTGCGACCCATTCTTGCTTCATGGGTAATTATACTAATACATCTTAAGGGTCATAAGTATAGTTGCCTTACGTAGCGATAAGCCTACTTAGTTGTACTCCAGGTAGGACAAGTGTGGCGGTGTACTCCAGGTAGGACAAGGGTGGCGGACGGACACGGTTTGCAGTCTCAACGCATGTGAAGGATTCGGAGTTTAGACGCCAGCAGACAGAGACTTCAGGGTCTTCACTCAGGGTTTTAGGGTCCAGGGCACCTGGAGTCCCTAGCGCTAAACCCTAAACTCTAAATCCCAAACCCCTAATCCCCTGGAAGCAACACAAAGAACCCAGAAACCCTAAACCCTAAACCCTAAACCCTTCAACTAGCAACGAGCTTTGGCCAGGTTGGCCCCTGGAATGCGATGGTCAGCTCGCCCCTCATCGGCGGTCTTGCCGAGCGGATGGGCACCTCGGACCAAAGTTTTGTTAGGGTTTAGGGTTTAGGGTGTAGGGTTTAGGGTTTAGGGTTTAGGTTTAGGGTCTATAGGGTTTAGGGTTTAGGGTTTTAGTGTTTGTCTAGTCTTTGGGTTTTTTGTGTGTGCAAAGTTCGGGCAGGAGTGTAAAAGGGGTTGGGGAAAAGTGGCCAAAGCAAAGTTCGAAGCTTCAACACGCGAAGAGAAAATGTGCCATGAGTTCCCCTGCTACCCCTCTGTACTAATTAACCCGGTTGATAGCCTTAAATATGGGGGAACCTGGGGGGGGGGGGGGGGGAGGCTGGTTAGAGGGGGCTAGTGTGGCTTCCCTCTAGTGTGGCAAAGTGGCTTTGTGCAGTAGTTGAGATCGGTACCCTCGAGAGCGTATTTGCATAGCACAATCCATACTCTATTCCCTCAGGTCAACACCCAAAACCCCTAAGCTCTTGACCTTCCTAGCTCCCCTGTGAGAATGGCTGGCGAAACCGCAGAACCGACATTGTACGTGGTATCAATCTGAATTTCCAAGTTATTTGTCTAAACAGCTGACAAGCCAAGTTTAAGTTTGAGGCCAAGTGCCCAATTTACTTAAACCTCTGCCCCCTCCTCCCCCCCCCCTCCCCCTTCCCCCCCTCCCCCTCCGCTTTTCTTGGGGACCCCTCAAAAAAATAGAAAATTGGTTCCAAAACAGAAACTCTGTCAAAACTTTCGGTCAAAACTTTTTGGGACCTGGACCCTGGTCAGGGGTTAGGTTCGGGATGCTTTGCCTCAGATAATCCCAGAGAGCCCCAATAGCCTTGAAACGAGGACATGGGCCTGAAGATAGCCCGGTTTAGGGTTTCGGTTTAGGGTTTAGGGTTTAGCCCCGCCCGCCCCCCCCCCCCCCCCCCCCCCCCCCCCCCAAAAAAAAAAAAAAAAAGTCCTTATCTGGGTGGAGGCGGGGCTCAGCATCTGCAGGCAGCTTCTGCCGACATCACAACAAATGCCCAGCAGCAACTGGTCAGGCTTCAAGCGCTTTGGGGGTTCATAGCCTTGGGGCTTAGGTAGTTTAGGGTCTGGGGTTTAGGGTTGAGTATTTAGGAGGGTTTGGGGTTGAGGGTTTAGGGTCTAGGGTTTACGGGGTTGAGTCCGGCGTCCTATGCCCGAAACCCTAAACCCAAAACCCTAAGACCCTACTCCAGCAGTTGCCCCACACATCAAGGAACTCTACCTTGAACCCTGAGGTGGTACCCTTGGGTTTTGGGGGACCCTTTCTAAAAACAACCCTAAGGCAGTTTAAGGGCCATAAGGGGCACGAGCCTTTCTTTCTTTGAGCACAGGACTTCCATACTGTTTAAGGTGCTCAAGGCTTCGTAGGACTTCGGGGCTCCTGTCGTGCCAGGGGTTCAGGGTTTAGGGTTCAGGGTTTAGGCTTTAGGGTTTAGGGTTTAGGGTTTAGGGTTTAGGGTTTAGGGTTTAGGGTTTAGCTGCAATCCAAAGTCTGGGTTCACAAAAGCTAGGACCCAGAGTACTTATTCCTTGTTTTTTTGCGGTTTAGGCTCCCTTTTAAGCCCCTTTAAACCAAAAAGGGGCCCTTTTTTGTTCCTAGGTAACTCTTGGGTCTAGAGTATATAGTCTTATGTACTATACAGGGCCCTAAACTACTATTGGCCTAAGGACCCCCAAAACAAAGTTCGCCATAGTCCCTATATTGTCCTTAGAAGGAAGGATGTTTCTATGTCTTTTGGGGGGGATCTAGAGCAACATAGTGCTGGAGCTACCAACTGATGGGACCCCTTTTAAGGCCCAGGTATAGGGTTGATTAGGGTTTAGGGTTAGGGGTTTAGGGTTTAGGGTTTAGGGTTTAGGGTTTAGGGTTTAGGGTTTAGGGTTTAGGGTTTAGACACTATCTGTTCGGACCGGCGGCTCAGGACCTCTACGAGGTTGGCATTCTCGTGGTCGGGGCCGAGTGGCTTTCCCAGTGAAGAGGCCGCAAGTACTAGGTAGGTTTGGGACATTTGATATTTTCCCTAATTGGGTTTAAGAGGAATTAGGGTTTGGGGTGTAGGGCATATCTTCCCTTATTGGATTTAAGAGGATCATGTTCAGGAACATGTTTCATAGCGGTTTTAAGGGCCATCCTAGATTAGACCAGGGTTTTCCTTCTCGTGCGACTCGGTTTAAAGGTTTTGTTCGGGTTTTCTAAGGGTTTTTAGGGCTTTGTTTTTTTTCCCGATCTTGTGGGGTTTTGGGAATTCGGAAGAGGTTTTCTTGGGTGTAGGGTTGAGGCTTTTGTTCCTTATGCGATTCCTAAGGGTTTTTGTACGGAATTGGGAAGTTACAAGTACTTTGGTGCAGCCGGGTTAGGGCGTATGTAGGGGAACAGCTAGGGGAGGGTTTAGGGTTTAGGGTTTGGTAGGTTTTAGGGCTTAGTAAGGGTTTACGGTTTAGGGCAACCGTTTGGAGCGCTGTGAGAAATCATGAGGCCTTTTGTTTCCCCTCCCCCGCCCCCATGAGCATGCGCCCTAGAGACTCTCATGTGAAAACTTTAAGCATGCGAAACTGAAACAGAATACCAGGATATACAACGTTCTGGGAACCTAAACCCCGAACCCTCCCGGCCACGTACCTAGAGACCAAGGTTTGAGTGGTTTGCACATGAAAAGCTGGCACTGAAAGCTGGCGTTCTCCCAGAGGCCAGGCAGCTAGGGTTTAGGGTTTAGGGTTTAGGGTTTAGGATTTCAAGACTCTAACCCCCCGGACCGTACCCGAAAGCCTTGAGACCCTAACCCCAAGAGAACCTTTAACATTCTGGCCACTCCAACCAAATACCCTCTTTGTGTTCTTTTCGGGCCCAACAGCTCTGAGGATTGTGGTCAGTGGTTTTGGCGGGGGCCGGGACCTAAACGCCACGAATATCCCTAAACCCTAATCCCTAAACCCTAAACCCCGCACTTGGAGCCGATGATTATATTTTTGTCAACCTTGCCGAAACCCACCCTGTGAAGCCCTACTATAGGGCTCAGGGTTTTGGGTTTTGGGTTTTGGGTTTTGGGTTTGAGAACTCCGAACCCTAAACCTTCCCGGCACACTTGAGATCATCATCCTTCATCGCTCACCTTGCTTCTACTTGGAGGCTCATGGTACTTAATAACCAAAGACAACTGCACTTATAGCCTACTTAGTAAGCCCCTTACGTGCCCCAACATGGTTATAAATACAGTTATGAGTACAGTTATAAGTACAGTTATAAGTACAGTTATAAGTACAGTTATAAATACAGTTATAAATACAGTTATAAGTACAGTTATAAGTACAGTTATAAGTACAGTTATTTACGAACTACCAAGTCGGGTTCTTAAGGGAGGGTGGGTTTAACCCGAGGTTCCCCTTCATACTCCCCACTACTCCCTAAGGCTCCCGAAGCTTCCCTAAAATTCCCTAGGCCCTAGGTAGCTACTCCCCCATGATCCCCCCCCCCCCCCCCCCCCCCCCTTAACAATTCTGAACCCCCCCCCCCCCCCCACAAACCCTAAACCCTAAACCCTGAAACCCCACGCAACTCTCGAAGGCCATCGACAGCATCAAGTCCCAGGCGGAGCCTGGCAGCGCACGTGGAATGACACCAGAGCAGCTGGCGGCCTCTTGACCTCTAAGGTTTTTTGCCCCTAAACCCTAAACCCTAAACCCTAAACCCTAAACCCTGAACCCTAAACCCTAAACCCTAAACCCTAAACCCTAAACCCTAAACCCTAAACCCTAAACCCTAAACCCTAAACCCTAAACCCTAAACCCTAAACCCTGTCTGGGGGATGAGCAGAATGACGGCCCCCTTTTTTGGGGTCCATGGGAGCCACAGGTGCCAGTAAAATGGGGCCCGGATTTGGCTGATCTCGCGGTCCCGCCCCCACCCATCATAGTAGCTGAGTGAGTACACTTTTACACTTTTTGGGATACTATAATCCCCTATAGAACTGAAAGTGTACACATTTGGGGGCTTATGAACTGAGCAACTAAGCCATGAGCCCGATCTGGATCGCCAGTTGTAGATCCTTTGCTTCTTGGGTGATCTAGCTGTCTCAGTTCTAAACTACGAATCATAACATTAGATGCTTAAAACAAGAAACTACGCTATTCGAGGTCCAGGTACAACCGAGTCCCTAAACTAAACGCCAAGTTCCGCCCTAAGCCCTACTTGGAGGTTCATGGTACTTAGTAACCAATCATAACTGTACTTATAACCATATTAGGGCACTTAGGGGGCTTATAAGTGGGTTATAAGTACAGTTATAATTAGTTACTAACTTACTAGTACCATGAACCTCCAAGTACACCCCGCGGTTTCGACTGTGGTGGGATCTCAGGGTTCAGGGTTGCGGAAGAGGCCGTAGATTGCTGGGGGAGGTGCCAGGTGGGTTTCCTGGAGCCTTAAAAGCCCAAGCCTAATCCCCCCCCAAGTATGCGTAGCCCTAAACCCGAAACCCTAAACCCTGAAACCCTACCCTAAACCCCAAAACCCTCAACCCCCCCCCAAGTATGCTTAACACTGGAATCAAGCAGGAAAGCAGGGACCGAAACGGCAACTTTTCGTTTAAGTGACTCAGTGTTAGGCCTCTGGTCTACCTGTACGACTTCCTGTAGGACCCAGATTAGGCCCTTATTCCTTTTTTGGGTTCAAGGTTCCTTATGAGACCATTTGTAACCAAAAAGTGCACTCTTTACACTCCTAGGTTACTCTTGGGTCTAGCTTCGTGGTCTGAATAGGCGAGCTTTAGGCTTGTCTGTAAGGATTGTCTGTCTGGCTGTGTGTCCGTCTGTCTGTCCGTCCGTCTGTCTGTCTGTGTGTGTGTGTGTGAGTGTGTGTTTCGTTTTCTTGAGGAGGGTCGAGGGCGACTGATACAGAGAGCTCTTGTTTACTTTCGATCAGTTTCTCAAGGTTGCCGACGCAAGGGCCAACAGATGCAATCCCACATGCGGTCACCAACCAACCCTGTGCGAAGGTTTACACATATGCCCGCGAGCTCCACAGCACGAAGCGCGTGTCAGACGATACTCATCAGAAAGCCTTGGCCGCCGTCGGTGGGGAGCAACTTGGATATGCAAGTTCAGGAAAACTTACTTAGCCAATGGTTGAACTTTAAACTTTTTGGGGTTTCCTTATTTAGTAGGAATATCAAAGTTTAGCCTTTTCCCCCCTTTGGTTAAGAATACATATCTCAGAGCCCGGGCCTGCCGTCATTCCCATCGAAACTGCTGGACAGACGTGACGATTCATTTTTTGGGACTTTGACAATAAACCCTAAATCCTAAACCCTAAACCCTAAACCCATCGAACTCTTTGGCTGCTCTAGGCTGGCAAGTCTCCAGCTTCACATTTTCATAAGTTTCCTCATGCGTTTAGGGTTTAGGGTTTAGGGTTCAGGGGATGTTCAGGGCACGTAGACTCCAATTCACACGTCGGCTGTCCTTATTTCAGCCTTGAGGACCCGGGGCTCGATAACGTTTCCTTCCCATGTGGGGGATTAGGAAAATAGGGGACCCCTAAAGGAGACCCCCAAGTAGTAGTTAGGGTTCCCATAGTAGGACCCTAAACCCTAAACCCTAAACCCTAAACCCTAAACCCTAAACCCTAAACCCTAAACCCCCAATTTCTGAAACCACCATGGCTTCTGTGCAGGCAGGCGCTCATCGACCTGGTCTTCACCATGGGCTTCTACCACCAGATGCTAGGATCCGGAGTAGGCCCTTGGTTCCTTTTTTTAGGTTTTGGGTTTAGGGTTTAGGGCTAGGATCTGGAGAAGGCCCTTATTTCCTTTGTTTAGGCTGGGGGTTCCCTTGTTATCCCCTTAAAAAATGAGCACCCTTGTTTATTCCTAGTTTACCCCTGGGTCCTAGGATTTCGATGACCTTGAATGCTTTCAACGTGCCGCTGCCTGCCGGCGTCACACCGCCCTTCAAGGAGCCATAGAGAAGCACGTCGGCACGAGTATAGAAAGGGGCTCCGTTTTATTTTCCGGAGATATGCTGCAACCTTGAGCATCTTGCCAACGAGCCCAAAATACCTTAATGAAGGTATATTATACACCTTCGAAATCTCGGCCTGATGTTGTGCTTCTCGCAGTTTCGACTAAACCTGCGAATCAGGCTTTTGGTTTTAGGGCTCCCCTAAACCCAAGACCCTAAACCCTGTATCTTTTTGCATTCCAGGTGCCCGAAGACATCATCGTTTCTCACCTTCGCCTTCGCGCGGCCGCCAGGGAGACGCGCAGACACCTGTGATCCAGGGTTTTTCGGGTTAGGGTTGGGATCTGATACTACCAGTCCAGAATAGGGATTCTAGTACCCCTCACTATACCCCCGATGAAGGACTGTTAGTATACAGGTAAACATCCCAAGGTTTAGGGGTATAGGGTTTAGTGTTTAGGGCTTAGGGTTTAGGGTTTAGGGTTTAGGGCAGGCGACACCTGAACTTCCGAAGAGTCTTTCGCGAGACGAATCTCTCTGCGCCCAGCGTCCTTAAGTGTTTTGGCTACTATTTCCTTAATAACCCCCGAAAAAAATGAAAGATAGTACTCCTCATATTGCCCTTATTTGGACTAACGTGTTTTTTTTTGTTTTTTTCGGGGGGGGGGGGGGGGTTCTTAAGCATATAGTAGTTTAGGGTTACAGGGCTTAGAGTTTGGGTGTCAAAGGCTCAGGGTCTAGGATCTCGGGTTCTCCGCAGAAGCTCGCACATCAAAGCAGCTGGCAGTGCATCTGCGCACCCAAAGCAAGCGAATCGAAGCCCTAAGCCCTAAACCCTAAACTTAGGGATAGGGTTCCAGGTTCAGTATAGGAAATCGGAACACGAAGCTTCTCTGGTACTTGGCTGTGGGCTGCTGCATGCATCTTCGCGAAGCTTCATGTAAGGGCCGCAGGTTACCTTGTTTGAGGCTGTGACTTTAGGTTGTGGAGTTTTAGGTGGGCTTTGGGCGGGAAGTTGGGGGGTGGCGGGGCGGGGGGCAACAAGTAGTTGTGGGTTTACTCAAGCGGCGCAAGTCTCCCAACTGCAGCAAGTGCCTTAGGGTAGTTACATGGTCCCTTCATATGGTCCCTCACCCTCTTCAGAGGATTCTGACGTAGTATGGGCCCTTGGGAACAATAGGTATCTAAGGGGTCCCCATTTAAGGGACCATGCAACTACCCTTTCGTTCTGAGAGCCAGAAGCATGCGCGGGCGAAAGTAGAGGAAGAAGATTGCAGTTCTGCAAGGGCTCGGCTTGAGACCCTAAACCCTAAACCCTAAACCCTAAACCCTAAACCCTAAACCCTAAACCCTAAACCCTAAACCCTAAGGCTTGACTGGGAGGAGTCCCTTAATTCAGACCCCAGCATCAATGTTCTTGCAGGACATCTTCAAGTCTTCAAGTCCCTTATCGGATTCTTAGGCAACCTACAAAGACGCCTTAGGGTTTAGGGTTTAGGGTTTAGGGTTTAGGGTTTAGGGTATGCCTCTTGAGTTCCATCTCCGACCTCTTGCCACCCAAGCCAAAACTAAGTCAGGTCCAGTCTTGGGGCAAAGCAAAATTAGACCCTAAACGAAACCCCAAAGCCTCATCAGGGTTTAGGGATTCGGGATATCCTCCCGGAGCGTGGACTCAGACTTTAGCAACAAGTATGGGCAAAAAACACGTCACTTAGTCCCAAGGGCCGCCCTCAACCCCAAGCCCTAAGACCCTAAGCCCCCCCAAAAACCCAAAACCCTACCCCTAAACCCTAAACCCTAAACCCTAAACCCTAAACCCTAAACCCTAAACCCTAAACCCTAAACCCTAACCCCCAAAAACCCAATCCGCCACTCCCACACCTTTGCCCAGCCAGGGAAGCAGACTTGGATGCCAACGCTCAGCGTGCCAAGCTCGGAATCGTGAGTCTGAGGATTGAGCTGAAAGTTCCGTTTAAGGTTTAGGGTTTTGGGTTTAGGGTTTAGGGTTTAGGGTTTAGGGTTTAGGGTTTAGGGATGGGACGAGAATGGAATGATTTAGGTAATTTGTCTAAAAGCGCTTCTTTTAGCTTACTGGATCGTAGTAGGGAAGTAAGACATTTGATGCCCAATATCCCCCCAAAATGCCCTCTAACGGCGGCCTTGAACGCACTATGTCGCTTAGTTCCCGAATCTTCCAGGACAAGTAGGTGAATTAAGGTTTTTGGGCCCCGTGGTCGCTCAAGGTTTTTAGGGTTTAGGGTTTAGGGTTATTCTGGGGGTTAGGGTATTCTGGGCGTTTAGGAGTGGTTTTCGGAAGCCTCTGTGACGGTTGTTGTTTAGGGTTTCTGCCCTGCTGTCGTGAAATACCGGAGTCAGGGTTAGATCGCTGGGTCTGTCAGGGTTTGGGGTTTGGGCTTCAATTGGGATGTAGGGCTTATACTGACAGGCGGATCCAGATAGTCGATAAGGAGGACTTCACCATCTTACTAGTTTTAAAAGACCGTTGTAGAGGCCGCACGTCTTCTGGCAGACCCCCTAAATTCTAAACCCTAAACCCTTACGCGGTTGCCAAAACACCCTGAACCCTGAACCTCAGCAGGGTGGTTGAGCTCCTGAGGGATTAAAGGTCTCGTGTCGTCACTAATACACAGTTGGAGCCTTGGAGCCATTGTGATGAGGCCTTTGAAGGGTCTAGGGCTTATGGGCATTTAAGGGATTCATCATCGGGTATGTCAGGGTATATCATAAGTCTATAGCAGCCTCAAAAACCGCTTCAACCTTTCATCCTTGCAAGACCATGTACCAACTCATGCCGTGATTCCATAGGGCTTACCCTAAACCCTAAACCCTGAGCCCTAAACTCTAAAACCCTAAACCCCCCCCTCCCCCCCTCACCCCACCTGCATCCTAAACCGACTGCCATCTCGCCTTCAAGTACCCTAAAAAGTATGGGTAGTTGTCAAAATTAGGGGCCCTTCTTGGACACCCTAAATTCCCTACATATTAGGTGCCGTATGATATTAGGGACCCCAAAAGGGACCATAATTTTGACAACCACTCATATGCGGTCCTTTGAAAAAGCCTCCGTATTTTGAAGCCCTGAACACACTGACTCCCCTGGCGAGTAAGGTGGGGGCATGGAAGAATGATACGTGCTAGTCGCCTTGAGCAACTTTAACCTCTAGGGCCTAGAATCACACCCGAACACCCTAAACCCCTATTTTTGGGGCCCAACTTTGGGGTATGATGATTCAGCCTATAAGCGACCCAATGGCTGTCCGATCTTTCCCTACTAGTTGCTTAAGAACCCCCCACGAAAATCTTCCTTTTTGATGGTAATATAGGGATTTATTCTTGAACAATGCTTTTTAGGGTTCTTAAGCAAATAATCGTAGTTCCACCAGCCCTAAACCCTAAACCCTGAACCCTGAACCCTGAACCCTGAACCCTAAACCCTAAACCCTCCAAGCTGCGCGTCCGCCGCCTTTTTGCTGGGCTCAAGACAGGTCTAGGCTTGGAAGACCCTGCCCACTGCCTGACCCGATTTAACTCAATCGTGGCTGGGCTGAGGGTTTAGGGTTTAGGGTTTAGGGTTGAGCATTGGGGTATGATGGAGGTTCGGAGATATGCAGGGTTGCGGGGTTAGGGTTTTGGGCCACGGGATTAGGGTTTAGGGTTTCGGGTTTAGGGCTCCAAATCCTAAACCCCGGAAACCCTAGAGAAGGAGTCTGTAGAACCGGGGTCTTCAAAGAACCCCAAGGTTTCCTTGGCTTTGGGGGGCGGACCTTTTGCACGGTCACCCTGTTAGGGTTATGGGGCTCAAGGTTTTAGGGTTTCTAGGGCTTACAGGCTTTAGCTCAGGGTTTTAGGGTTTAGGGTTTGTAGAGTTTATACGGTTTCGGGTTTCGGTTCATATCAGGAGAAAGATGAAGCGAACTCTTTAGGGGTACGGTCGAGCCAGGATCCCTTTTTAAGGTTTAGGGTTCAGGGTTTAGTGCTTAGGTTTAGGGTTTAGGGTTTAGGGTTTAGGGTTTAGGGTTTAGGGTTTAGGGTTTAGGGTTTAGGGTTTAGGGTTTAGGGTTTAGGGTTTAGGGCAACTTGAAGGCCCTCAAGTGCACCAAGCAAGAAGAAGAGGCCGAATGCTACAGTCGCCATGAGGTGCCCAGCATTCCCTTAGGGTCCCTTGTATAAATCTACCATGAGAACCTAAAACTCTCATTCCAAGTATTGGCGGACCCTTTTGCACGGTCACCCTCTTAGGGTTATAGGGCTCAAGGTTTTAGGGTTTCTAGGGGTTTACAGGATTTAGCTCAGGCTCCAAGTCGGGGTCTGCTCTGAATGAGGGTCGCCCTTACAGATACAAACTTAATAAACATAGTAGGAGCAATATCAAAGAACGACAGTAGCAGTGCTAGTAACAGTCTTACCCTACTTCCTTGTAAGGCCCTGCCGCCCAGCGCCAGACGGAACCTACTAGGAGGTTCATGGGTACTTGCCACCGTCTGCCCCCCAATTCTTAACCTACTTGGGGGACTTAGGGGGGTATAAGAACCCTGAAACCTAAACCCTAAGCCCTCAAGAACCTACAGCTCGTGAGTCAGTAAAGAGCTGAGGTCTTGTGGCCAGGCTCACCTGGACCCACTTCGTATCTCTCAAAATCCCAAAAGCGCCCTGGCCGAACTGAGGGTTTAGAGCTTAGGATTTGGGGTTTAGGGTTTAGGGTTTAGGGCTTCAGAGGTCCGTGTTAAAAAAAAGGGTTTAGGGCTTAGGGTTTGAGGAGTACACAACAAACCTGACTGGGGCTCCGGTGCATCAGATGAGGTTCTAAACCCTAAACCCTAAACCCTAAACCCTAAACCCTAAACCCTAAACCCTAAACCAAACCCTAAACCCTAAACCCTAAGCCCTAAACCCTAAACTCTAAACCCTAAACCCTAAACCCTAAACCCAATCGGAGCGCCTCAGGAGCTTTCATGTCCGCCTACTTAAACGTGAAGAGTGCAAACCAAGCCCCTATACAGGAAGGCGCCCAACTCCTCCAATGTATCAGTGTCAAAGCGCACAAGGACGAGCAATTCTTAGGGCTTCGGGTTTAGGATGTAGGGTTTAGGGTCTAGGACCGTTCCTCTTGGGTTTCGTATAGGGGTCGGAATAGTTTCCTAACAGTATTCCCTTGTGGTCCCTCTATGTCCCTTGTTCTAAGTATTAAGGCGCCGATATTATGAATGTTGAAGCAGTCTGCGCCTTAAGCCCGTCTCTGACCCTGCACATGGTTTAGGGTGTAGGTTTCGGGTTCAGGAAGCCCTAAACCCTAAACCCTAAACCCTCAACCCTCAACCCTCAACCCTAAACCCTAAACCCTAAACCCTAAACATAGACATAGACCCTGAACAGCCATGCCGGCTTCTTAGGTTGTCTTCGCCATGTGGCGATCTTTTCTCCCGCTTGCTACAAGTGCTGTTGCGCTGGCTCAGTCGACCCTTGCTTGCACATTCAGCACCCTAAACCCTATACCCCGCAACGCACTTAATGCCTGACTTATATATCCCTATGTACCTAAGTAGCCCCTGAAAAACCCCTAAACAACCCCTAAGGTCCCTCATAAGGGTCCCTCCTCTCGTCCCTTTTGACCTTTGTACCCGGGAGTCGGCATCCTTGCATATTCAGCGTTTACTTGGAGGTTCATGGCTACTTATTACCCCAATGAACCCAAATATACAATGCACTTAAGTCCCCTAAGTAGGTTATAACTAGACTTATAATTGGGGTTATGAGTACCCTACGCCCTAATCCCTAAACCCCAAACCCTAAACCCTAAACCCTACTTGGGAGTTTAGAATCACCCATGAATCTCCGAGTAGGGAGCCTGAGCTTTCATTCCGGCACGTGGGCTTAAGTGTGAACCCGGAGAGCACCCCACAAGCTTCGACCCTTGCTTACGCCTCATGTCATGTCTATACCTACATATAAATATGAATACATGTATATATATATATATACATATACAGAGATACATTTCGATTAATAAATAAATAAATATATATATATATATACACTTATTATTTGTTTATTTGTTTATTGGTTTGTTTACTTATACATATAAACATACCTATACACACAGATATACATATATACATATATATATACGCATATATAGAGGCATAAATCCATAGAAGGCCAGGGCAAGCCCAAAGCTTCACCGCGCTGTGGCCAGCTAAGGGGTTTAGGGTTTAGGGTTTAGGGTTTAGGGTAAGCGATCTCAGGACACTTCCACAGACCTGCCCAGCCGGGCAGTGCTTGCGGGAGGAGGCGTTGTGTGTTTGTTTGTGTGTTTGTGTGTTTGTGTGTGCGTGTGTGTGTGTCTTTGTGTGTGTGTGTGTGTCTTTGTGTGTGTGTGTGTGTGTGTGTCTTTGTGTGTGTGTGTGTGTGTCTCTGTGTGTCTGTGTGTGTGTGTCTTTGTGTGTGTGTGTGTTGTACTGTTTTTGTTTTGTTGTTTCTGCCGGTTTGTGCGCTTGGTGTGGATGTGCTGATCTCCCCTCTACCTCTTTTTTTTTTTTTGGGGGGGGGGGGGTGGAGGCATGCCTGAAGGCTCTGGGATAGTTGCCATTGAATTGAGCTGCATGATTCTGACTGCAATTTCTAGTATACTAGGGTTTAGGGTTTAGGATTGCTACCAACTTGAATATCCCATGCACCCTCAAAAGGGAAATGCTCTTCAATTCTTGGCACATGTCCATTTTCACCCCTAAGCCCCAAACCCTTAACCCTTTACTGCAGGTGCACACACGCGGGCTTGTAGGGATTCAGTGATGCACTGGACGCCCCCCAACCCCTAAACCCTAAACCCTAAATGCTTCAGTCAAGTCGAAATCGTCGGGAACCAGGGTTTCGGGTTGTCGGGGCCCACAGGAATAGGCCGAAAGCTGGCTTGGCGGCGGCATGAAGAGGGTTTAGGGTTTAGGGTTTAGTGTTTAGGGTTTAGGGTTAGGGTTTAGGGTTTAGGGTTTAGGGTTTAGGGTTTAAGGTTGGGGGTTCTGTGTTAAGGGGTAATATGTCGTCCCTAGAGAACTCATTAAGTAGCCCCTAAATACCCCTCAAGAACCCCTAAATGATCCCTAAGGTGCCTAAACCCTAAACCCTAAACCCTAAACCCTAAACCCTAAACCCTAAATAAGGGTCCCTCCTTTAGTCCCTTTCATTGGGACTTACAAGGCAAAAAAATGTGTTTGCGGATTCTCGAGGAGCATCTCCTCAGCCGAATTAAGGGTTTAGGGTTTATGGTTAGGGTTTAGGGTTTAGGGTGTAGGGTTTAGGGTTTAGGGTTTAGGGTTTAGGGTTTAGGATAAGCCCAGACGTAGAATCCAGCTGCTTTGCTTGTGCACCGGCGGAGGCTGCAGATGAAAATCGAGCCGCGCTTGGATTCGTACAGACATCGTTGCAGCCTGGCTCAGGGGCTTCGAAACCCGAGTTTAGGATTAGGGTTTAGGGTTTAGGGTTTAGGGTTCAGGAACCCTAAACCCCAAACTTGAGATGTTCCCGCATAAACTAACAGCCCTTAATAGAGATTCTAGTACCCCCTATGATGATCCCTTTTCAGGACTTCTTGTACAAGGGGGAACATCCCAGCCCCAAACTCCAACCCTAAACCCCCCAAATAGCCCCAAGTCCGCATCAGGTGCAGGCTTTAGATACTGAGTAGTGGGCTCGTTTTATACTTGGAGACCCAGCTAGGACCCTTCAACCCCCCCCCCCCCCCCTCCCCCCCTGTGGTGTGGTTGTGGATTGGTTTTAGGGATTCTAGCCTACGGTTTTAAGAAACAACGTTAAGTCTTAAGCGCGACTGAGGGTGGTCCTCGAATGAAGTAAGCTATTTTTACAGATATATATATATACACACCTGAATAAAGGAGTATTGGGCTCTTCGCAAACCCTCAACAAGAAGGTTCAGATCTTTTGTTTGAGGAGGCTCGCATGCGTGCTGCAAGGCATTGGAAGCTTCGCGACCAACGAGCAGCTACCCGGTCTGCATCTCTTTGCTGCCTTGTAAGGAAGAACATTATTTAAATTTGTTTTTTGGGTGGTTCTTACGTTCTTAAGCAAATAGTAGCTGCATACCCTAAACCCCAAACCCTAAACCCTCCTTGGAGTAGTTTTGTTGCCTCCGATTGGGGACCTTGCGCCCCAGAAGCCTTTCAGCACTTAACGAAGAGCCGCGCAGCTTACGGCTTAGGCTGGGAACTGGGCAGGTACTACCACTGAGGAGGCTAGGGTTTAGGGTGTAGGGTTTAGGGTTTAGGACTTAGGACTTAGGGGGGAAGGGTTTAGGACTCAGGGGGGAAGGCCGCGCCAAATCCGCAAAGGGTCTTTACCTGCCAATGCCGAAGTCACCAGCAGAAGCCCTGGCAAGCCCGACTTAGTAGTAGAGTAGGTAACCTTTAACCTTTTTGGAGTATTCTAATCCCTATAAAATCCCAAAGGTTAACCTTGAATTCCCCCAGGTTACTGGACAACTAAGCCGAAAGCCAACGCCAGGCTGCCGAAAAGGAAAGGGTTGCCGAAGTACTTGCAGCCAACCTAACCATCAGCCGTCGCCCCAGATGAAGGTCTCACTCAGCGTTTCACGGACTTGCGAGGTAAACCCTAAACCCTAAAAGCTCGAGAGTGTCATGTCTTGAGGTGTTGGTGACTCAGTTGTGGCATAGCATCACTTGGTACACACAGTGCTGTTTTTTTCCTTTTTCTTCACTTGAACCTGAGTTGAACTGAAGCAAGCGCTTACGGTACTTGGGGTAAAATCAGGGGGTAGGAAGCAGCTCAGCAAATGCTCTGGACTATATCCAACGTACAAAGATGTAACCCTAAGCCCTAAGCCCTAAACCCTAAATGGGGGTTTCCGAAATTAGGGGTCCCCTCCTGCGGTCCTTAGTATCAGGGAATCCTTCTGTTTCGGACTCTGTGTTAGGGTTTAGGGTTTAGGGTTTAGGGTTTAGGGTTTGGGTTTAGGGGTCCCCTATTTTCCATCAACTCCCAAGCCGGGCGAGGAAAAGAAGCCCCCAGGGGCATAAGGAGCATGGGGCAAGTACCCTAAGGGTCCACGTACCTTATTGATATATGCTTGGGCCCCAAAGTCCTTATGTAGAAAGTGCGCTAAGGCCCAAGTATTCCCTAGTTAGGTATATGAACCCCCTTGGGTTAGGGCGTTTAGATGTTCTTAGGCGCGAGGGCTTTCTTGAGTCGCTCAGCACTCGACTGAGCCCTGAGCTGGGTGCCTTTCCTGTCTTAGGGTTTAGGGTTTAGGGCTTAGGGCCTAGGGAATGTCTATCTATATATGGTACCTAAGTTAGGAATTGGATTCCCTCATTTCCTAGCAAGAACCAGTAGGTAGAAGCCATCCTGCCCATTCTCTACACCCTGAAGGGCACAAAGTCAGTAGACCCTAAACCCAAAACCCTAAACCCTAGCAGTAAACCCTAAACCTTAAACTCTGAACCCTAAACCCTAAAACCCTAGCCCGAAACCCCAAACCCTAAACCCTAAACCCCAAACCCTAAACCCTAGCCCTAAACCCTAAACCCACGAGGCGATGCAGAGAACCCCTGGGTCCTGGCACCCGTGAACGGCCACTGTCCCCTCAATCAAGGCCTGGGGGTGGAGGCGCGCGCGACTTTTTTTTCTTGAGTTGTACCCTGGGTTTTTTGGGGTTTAGGGTTTAGGGTTTAGGGTCTAGGGTTTAGGGTTAGGGTTTAGGGTTTAGGGTTTAGGGGACTTGGGGGGGGCTCATAAGTACAGCTATAAAGTAGGTTTTCTTCTTCTGGCGGGCTCTTAGGACTTGAACCTTTTGGGTTTTGGGTGTGTCGAAACCCTAAAGGCAGGAGTGCATTCTTCAGAGCTCAAGGGTACCTTAAATTTAGGGTGCTTGGTTTTTAGGGGAGTGTAGGGCTTTCATTAGAGGGCACTTGGCCCCAACAAACCCTTAACATCTCTAAACCCGAAACCCTCAACCCCAAGGAGCTCACTACACCTTTCAACTACTTGGAGCTTCATGGGTACTTCTGGGTTTTGGAGTACTACACTTTAATACTTTTTTTGGTTCTGGGTTCCTATAACCGCTACTTATACCTAAAAAGTATATACTTTTTTTTCCAGGGTCTACTCCAAAGCTAAGACTTATAGCTACGAAAACACATCTATATACTTCGGACAGTTGTAACTGGGGTTACAAGTACCCTGAACCTCCTTACACCTCTTGAGTCATATCAGGGCGCCGAGCATGATTTGAGGTTGGGATGCTTCTCCCTTTTACCGAACTTTTACCAACTGTCCTTAGTAGGGATTAGAATAGGGTTTAGGGTTTAGGGTTTAGAGTTTAGGGTTTAGGGTTTAGGGTTGAGGGTTTAGGGTTTAGGGTTTAGGGTTTAGGGCCCCAATTAAGGACTGTAACAGTAGCATCCCAAAGTTCATATCTTTGGGCTTCCACTTTGGTAGGGAAATATTGGAGAAGCAAGAATTGCAGGTGTACTCCTTCACCAAAGTGTTGAGCTCTTTGGGAGCCCTAAACCCTAATATAAGCCCTAAACCCTAAGCCCTAAGCCCTACACCCTAAACCCTAAACCCTAAACCCTAAACCCTGGCCACCTAAAGCTTTACGCCCAGGTGCCCTTCACCGTCCCGACCGCTCTCAAATTCAAAGCTTTCGAGTGGATGGGCCCCTTGGCGCCACCAGATTCTAAGAAAGGGTTTAGGGTTTAGGGTTTAGGGTTTAGGGTTTAGGGTTTAGGGTTTAGGGTTTAGGGTTTAGGGTTTAGGGTTTAGGGTTTAGGGTTTAGGGTTTAGGAGGTTATAGGTAAGCTCTTGGGACATGTTACATTTTGCCTTAATGGGTTTAAGAGGATGATCTTCAGCAATTTTTTCAGACGGCTTTAAGAGCCATACCCTTTGGACATACCCTTAGAAGACAATTCAGGGGAATGGGGACGTCCTCCTTATATTCTCCTTTGTATAGGTCCTTAACTCATATTAGGGTGTAGGGCTTAGGGCTTAGGGTTCAGGATTTAGGGTTCTTATTTTTGTTTAAGGGATATTCCCTAATTAAGGGGGTTTGGGGTTAAGCGTGTAGGTTTTGGGGCTCTCGGCTTGGCAAGGCTGACCCTAAGGACCCTAGACCCCAGATGACAAGGCCTTTGGGGCCCAATTGGGGCTTTGGTTTAGGTTTAGGGTTTAAAGTTTAGGGTTTAGGGTTTAGGGTTTAGGGTGTTTTTTTAAGGGTTAAGGGCTCGGGCTTATAAAACCCCTAAACACTAAACCCTAAACCCTAAACCGCATGTTTGACGGCCCTCTCTGGTTCCCAACTGCTTCGGGAACCTCGTAGCGGGACCTACATGATTTTCTGCGGTACGCCAGGTCCAATGCCCGGGTTCAGGGTTTAGGGTTTAGGGTTTAGGGGTTAGGGGTTAGGGGTTTAGGGTATATGCCCTAAACCCTAAACCCTAATTACGCCTGAGTCCGGGAGTTGTGTTGAACCCTGGTCCCGGTGACCCATTCCGGATCTAAATCCTCTTTATCCACTTATCTGCCTCATCCCCTGTAGCCCACAAGCTTGAAACCTCTACGGTTAGGGTTTAGGGTTCAGGGTTTAGAGTTTAGGGTTTAGGGTTTTAGGGTTCTACGCGCCCAAAGCCTACAAGCCCTTGCGTCAACAGCCTAAGCCCAAACCGCGGGTACCTATCGGGGATCCTTCGGTACTTCTTGCCCGATGGGGGGCTCTATGATCTCTATGAAACTTAGCCTCGACACTGTTGTCCTACAGGCTCTCTGAGGCCATAAAGTGTTTGGGGTTTGGGGCTGTTTTAGTGGCCCAGAGACCATACCATGTAAGTTGTAAAATTGGGATGTTCCTCCTTATGCGAACAGTCTCCGATTATAATCCCTATTAAGATTTGTTTGTGTACGGGAACATCCCAAGTTGTAACCCCTAAACGCTAAGGCTTTCGGGTTTATGGTTGTTTCGGGCTCAGGGTGAACGACATGCTCGTTAGCTTTCCTGGGCTTTGAGCTTTAGGACTTAGGGTTTAGAGTTTAGTTGTTCGCAGTCCAGTTGCAAAAAGGGCTTAGGGCATAGGGCTTAGGGCTTATTGTTGAGTGAGGCCTCATCCACAAGCTGCGCCACTGCGGGTTCAACCAGATCAAGGTGCTGACCGATCTTCTTTCCAAAGGACACTTTCAGCCTAAACCCTAAACCCTAAACCCTAAACCCTAAACCCTAAACCCTAAACCCTAAACCCTAAACCCTAAACCCTAAACCCTAAACCCTAGAGCCGTCCGTGGTCGCCTGCAGCATGAACCCCAAGAAAACAATGACTTTAACCTGGCTCTGGGGACTTGAACCTTCTGGGGGCTTTTCAAGCAACTACAATAAGGAAACGAGCATATGTTATAATAAAGTAAGCAAAATACGGGAATTTACAATCAACATATTTTCCCAGCAGCCTAAAAGTTAAACTTTTAAGAGGGGTTCAGAAGTCAGCCAAGAAAACATTGCGGAAGATGTGGTCTGTGGCGCTGTTTCTCCTCTTTACATGGCCTGCATCCCTTGAAGTTTAGGGTTTAGGGTTTAGGGTTCAGGGTTCAGGGTTCAGGGTTCAGGGTTCAGGGTTCAGGGTTTAGGGTTTAGGGTCCCGAAGCACCTCAGAGAGCCCGGGTTCAAACAAAAAGGTTTCGGAACCCTACGCCCCAAAACCCAAGAGCCCTAAACCCCTCATGCCTAAAGCCCGAACCCGTACCCAAATCCTGAGGAGGCCCGGCTTTTTCTTGGCGCAAGATTGAAAAAGCCTAAAGGGTGCATGTACCCTTATAGTACATACTTGGCCGGATCCCCCCCCCCCTGTAAGGCCCAAGCATATACTCTATAGGAACAGGGACCCTTAGGGAAACGAAACTAAACCCTAAACCCTAAACCCTAAACCCTTTCCAGGAGAGGGTGTCCAGCACGAAAACCTGCTGGCCTGGAAGATCTCTCTGGCCTGGGCCGTCGTCGTCCTGGCTCTCATCATCTGGCCACGGCCTTGGCAGACTTGCCGGTTTAGGGTTTAGGGTTTAGGGTTTATAGGGTTTATAGGGTTTATAGGGTTTAGGGTTCAGGGTGTTTGGGTACACCTTGGGGATGTTCCCCCTTATACTAACAGTCCTTAATCGGGAATATAGTGCCGCCTATGAAAATCCCAATTACGGACTGTTTGTAAAAGGGGGAACGTCCCAAGGTGTACCGTATAAGAATCCCAAAACCTACTTGTTTTGGTATAAAGCCCCTTTTAGGATCTACCTTTTTGTGGTAGGTCATTAGGGTATTTTTTGGGCAACCCGCACTCAGTAACCAACTCCCATAAAAGGGTTCCCTTATCAGAATATGCTTACTGGGCTACCAATGACGAAACTTGAGAATCTCACTTTTTTTGGCAGGTTACTACTACGAAGCCCCTTATGGGATTGTCACGTCGCCTACAAAAAGTCGGTTTTTAGAGGTTCTTGAGGTAGAGGGCTCGAGGTGGTAGGATCATTATTTCCGTTTTGCAACATGCTGCGTGATACGTGCAGGCTGTCATACTGTCAAGATCGTTCGGTTTAGGGTTGAGTGTTGATTGATGAGGGTGTAGGGTTTAGGGTTTAGGGTTGCGGAGGGGAGATTTGTGGTGGTTGGCTCAAGCAACAGAAACCTGCTAAGGTTCCCGACGCTAGGACCCACCACATTTAAGCACTCAGGGTTGTTGAAGGGTTGCGCACATCGGATTGGGACTTGCCACCGGCAAGTCCTGGCACGAAGCGCCATGTATCCGCCAGAAGTCCTCAGCACTCCCTAAGGGCCCATGTACATACTTCTATATAGTATATACTTGGGCCCTAAGCTAGTATATCGCCCCCCTTTAAGGCCCAGACACAAAAACACACTATATATATATATATGTGTGTGTGTGTGTGTGTGTATAATATATATATATATATATATAGATATATATATATATAGGTACATGGGCCCTTTGGGAAAGTCCGCAGCACTGATGGTGGCCGTTGCGTTTGCAGTTTTAGATTTTAAGGGTTTACAGTTGCCCAGGGTTTAGGGTCTGCGGGCCCTAAACCCTAATTAAGCCCTAAACCCTAAACCCTAAACCCTAAACCCTAAACCCTAAACCCCCTTATAGGGCTTTGCCGAGGTCCTTCTTGTCCGTGGCCATGGTCCCCAGAAAGCAAGCCGCGGACACGGTAAAAGCGGGACTGGCCGACGACGAGAAGGCTCCGGCTGCCGCAGGTTTAGGGTGTAGGGCTTAGGGTTTAGGGTTTAGGGTTTGGGGTTTAGGGTTTAGGGTTTAGGGTACTCCGGGCGAGGTGGCAAGCCTGTTGCAAAAGGGTTTAGGGTTTAGGGGCCAGAAACCCTAAAGCCCTAAATTTTAAACCCTAGAACCCCAAACCCTAAAACCCTAGAAGGCCTGAAGCCCCAAACCCGAACCCCACCAACCCTCACGAGGCCGAAGCCCCAAACCCGAATCAGTGCTGTGCCATCAAGGTACAGTCAGAGTCCAGCTGTGGTTTAGGGTTCAGGGGGTTTAGGGCTAAGGGTTCAAGGGGGTTTAGGGTTTAGGGGTGCATGTCAGAACATGTCCGGTTCTCTTGATTTGGTCCTTGTTTTTCGTGGCTCTCAGTATGGAATTGCGAAATTAGGTATACTGAGAGAAGCTGTTTCAAGAAACGCTGGCGCCGCCCTCAGCCCATGCATCTATGGTTTACAGTACTGCTCCTTCTGTCCCTCATCATCAACCCTGAACCCTAAACCCGAAACCCTAAACCGTGACAGGCCTACGCCAAGGGCTTCTTTCATTACGTCAGCCTTGGCTGGGTGGACGAGTTGGTGGGAAGACCCCTGCGTTCGACATTTCAGGGGGAGTCCACCTTGCTCTCTTTTGCTAGGGTTTAGGGTTTAGGGTTTAGGCTTTAGGGTTTAGGGCTTACTTAGGGCTTAGGGTTTAGGGTTTAGGGGGGCCCGGAGTAGGGCAGAACAGGGTTTATTTTGGGGATAATCAGGGTTCGGGTTAGGGTTTAGGGAGGAGAACCCCGCAGTTCTAGGTGTAAAAGGCTTTAGGGTTCAGGACTACTGTATTTTGGTACCTAGGAGGGAGGACATACCCATCTAAAAAGTTCCTAATGGGAGCCCCAAACAGGGAACTTCAAGACTATACTAGGAAGATAGGGGGAACATGCGGGCCCTGGTAGGTATGTTCCTCTCATCTTTCTACTCTATTCCTGGGTTCCCTGTTTGGGGTTCCTTTTGTTTATTTATCTTGGGGGTCCATACAATCTACTGCATTTTGGGGGCACATAGGAGGGAGGACATACCCATCTTTTCGAGCGCCCAGGATATGGCAAGAATTGGCAGGCCGTGATCGACGACAACGAGACTGGGCTCAAATTTGCGCGCGGCTGTGCTGTACTTGCACATTCGCTACGCCCTAAACCCTAAGCCCTAAACCCTAAACCCTAATCCCTACACCCTAACCCCTGAACGCTAAACCTTAAAGCCTAAACCCGAAACCTTGGGAATCCTCGCAGTCGTAGCGTTACCTCCCCCCAAAAAACCCTGAAGCCCTCAATGCTGAAGAGCCAAGGAGATTGTGTGCAACCGCCGAGATGCCCGGCCGCAGCGAAGCGACTTACCGGTTTTAGGTGCTCCAGGGGGGTTTAGTGTTTAGGGTTTGGGGTTAAGAATTTGGGGTTTAGTGTTTGGGCTGTCGGGTTTGGGTTGTAGGGTTTTGGGGTATAGGGTTGACGCAAACTTGGAGGCAACCCGTCCCAGAGAAGTGAAACTTTGAAACAGCTAATGTTTCTAGTCAGCACATGAGGTCAATCATCTCTCAAGTTTTTGGGGTTTAGGGTCTTTTGAGAATGAAACCTGGCAGCTCGCGGCGTCGGAGTTTGGTGAGGGCTGTCGGTCCAACTCTTTCCAAGCCCAGGGGCCCAAAGCCTTCCGACCTTCAGCCCAACGCCCTAAGCCTTAAGCAAGCCCCGAAGCCCCCTAAACCCCCCCAAACCCTAAACCCTAAACCCCTAAACCCTAAACCGATCTCAAGACGACTGTTAGGATGATGCCTTTGCGCCCTACGTCAATTTCAAGACGCACTGGGAGGCAGAGGCGGGGCAGGGTTTAGGTTTAGGGTTTTGGGGAGGTGGGGCTGACCCATCGGCTACCTCCTTTGGTAGTTGAAGGTCACCCATTTGCCATTTTGGGCTCTGGGGTTCCCTCTTAAAGCTGGGTCTTTTGGCTTTAGGGTTGAGGGTTTAGGGTGTGCCAACTCCAAGAAGCACCCCCTTGCTTAGGATATCGGCACTGCGCTACCAACTTTGGACCAAGTCTAGGGTTTAGGGTTTAGGGTTTAGGGTTGAGGGTTTAGGGTTTGGGGTTTGGGGTTTAGGGTTTAGGGTTTTGGGCTTTGCAGTGTTAGGGTTTCGGGCTGGGCGCATTGGGGTCTCAAGAGACTTCACAGCTCTAGCATGGCCGCCTTGGGGGTCTTCGGGTTTAGGGTTTAGGGTTTAGGGTTTAGGGTTTGAGTGCAGGGTTTGGCCAGCATAAGTTTTCCGGAGGCTACGCAGAAACCAGGCCGCAAGGCAAAGAAGGCACCTGAAGAGCTAATGCACTAACCATCCCTTCTTAGGGCCCAGAAGCCTCGAAGCTTATAAACCCTAAACCCGAAACCCTAAACCCGAAACCCTAAACCCTAAACCCCAAACCCTAAACCCTAAACCCCAAACCCCAAACCCGACGTTGGCCTGTGCTGGGCCACCTGGTGGTCCTGGTAGCGAAGTCAGGGTTGCGAAAGAATCAATTCCCACGAGTAGGGTTTAGGGTTTGAGGTTTAGGGGTTTGGGGTTTAGGGTTTAGGGTTTAGGGTGTGGGAGTTTCGTTACCTTCAGAACCCGGGTCCTACTTATTTGCAGGTTATTAGTATACAACTCCTTCTAGAATTTTTAGTTAACCTACAAAGAAGTAGGTTTTGGGTTCTTAAGGTAGTAGTACAGCAGAGAGTATGCCCTTCTTTTTTTTTTTTAAGGGTGTAGGTTCCCTTGTTATACCCTTTAAAGCAAAAAGGGTACCCTGTTTATTCCTAGGTTACTCCTGGGTGAAGAAGAAGTGGAGTAGGAAACCTTTTACCTTGTTTGGGGTATAATATTCCCTTTGCAATCCCAAGGTTAACCTTTAGTTAGCCTTTTTATCAGCGACATCATGGTGCTTGGCTTATAAGTTGGGATGTTCCCCCTTAGACTAACAGTCCTTAATCGGGATTCTAGTACTCCCCCCTACAATAATCCCTACTAAGGACTGCCCTTGGGTTGTATAGGGTATATAAGGGGTTGAGGGGTCCCCAAGGTCCGCTGTCTGTGTACTGGACCCAGTACTTCCTTTCTCGGGGAGAGGAGGGGGGCGGGGTTGGGGCGGAGGGGGGACGATTGGGGGGGACCCTCTAAACCCTAAAAACCCTAAACCGGGGGAATTCCGAGGTCCAACGTGCAGGCAGCGTCGAGAAGGCGGCTCGTTTGCGATATGGTTCAGGCAATGGGGCTTCCTCACGCGCATGTGGCACATGAGGGTTGTTCTACAGATCCGTGTCTTCCGGTTTTTCTTGGGGCTACCTCTTGAGGTAGTTTCAAGGGTTCACGAATGTCGCGAAAGAAGGCGAAAGAAGGTGCGAAAGTCCTAACACAAATATCATTACAGCACACACCCCCCCCCCCCCAGGGCTCTTAGGCAACCTACGCAGAAGTAGGTTTCGGGTTCTTGAGGGGAGCCCTTGGCGTTCTAACCCCTAAACTCTTTCAAACCCTCAACCCTAAACCCTAAACCCTAAGCCCTAAGCCCTAAACCCTAAACCCTAAACCCTAAACCCTAAACCCTAAACCCGAAACCCTAAACCCTAAACCCTAAACCCTAAACCCCACCCACGCCCTAGGCTTGGATCCTCACGGCGCTCTACAAGACCGTGGGCTGGAAGGGCGCCATGGCGATGGTGCTCCTCACCTTCACGGAGGAGATCGCGGGCGGAGCCCCTTGAACGGGCATGGCTGAGAAGAGGGGGTTTCGGGTTTCGGGTTGGTTTAGGGTTTAGGGTTTAGGGTTTAGGGTTTAGGGTTTAGGGTTTAGGGTTTAGGGTTTAGGGTTTAGGGTTTAGGGTTTAGGGTTTAGAGGGCCTAGGGCTTAAAGTTTGGTGGGCTCGAAATCCTAAACCTCTCGGGATTCCGAGCTTCGATTCCGGTAGGTCCAAGCCATGAGCACAAGGGCCCTAAACCCTAAACCCTAAACCCTAAACCCTAAACCCAGGGTGTTGGAGCGGTTTAGGGTTCTTCAGAGAACGGGGCGCCGTGTGGTCGAGTCTATTAGCTCCGGGCGCGCACAGTAGACACCAGGACCCTAAACTCTACCTAGGTACTTGGAGGTTCATGGTACTTAGTATAACTAATTATAACTGTACTTATAATCCACTTATAAGCCTCCTAGGTGCCCTAATATGGTTAGAAGTACAGTTATAAGTACAGCTATAATTAGTTACTAAGTACCATGACATAGGGGCCGTTTTGTTATGGGGCACCCCAAGAGCCCAATACCCCTTAATTAAGGAATAGACCTTAAGTCATGGTAGAGATCTCTCTCATGATTTGAGGTATATTCCTTAGTATACCCCAAGATAAGGAAAGGGCCTGAAATCATACTATAAATAGGATCTCTCTCTTATGATTTGAGTTCTAAATCCTTGATGATGTGAGGGGGGAGGGGGGGGGGGGCGGGGGGTTCGGCTCTCTGGATTGGGGGGTGGTATTGCTGCACGTGACAAAGAAACGGAGCGTCGAGGGAGTTTAGGAGCTTCATTGCCTGTGGGAGGGTCAGGGTTTGAAGTTTACCTGGGGGCTTTAAAGGGTAAACAGGGTTAAGGGCTTAGGGCTTCGGGTTTAGGGTTTAGGGTTTAGGGTTTAGGGTTTAGGGCAAGTCCAGCTTCAAAAAAAGGTGGGTTTCAGTTTCGGAGACACAGCTTAAAGACGGAACCCCAGATTTCAGGGATGTTCACGGCCAAGAGGTTTTTGGGGTGAGGGCTGTGCAAGTCGAAATCCCCAAACTTGGGGGGGCCAAATGAAACCCTAAAAGGGTTTTGTGGTTCATACACCTCAGTCGGAACCCTAAACCCTAAACCCTAAACCCTAAACCCTAAACCCTAAACCCTAAACCCTAAACCCTAAACCCTAAACCCCCTAAACCCTAAACCCTTTTAGGGTTCATTGGGTCCCCAACAAAAGCGGCCCAAGGTCATGAGCATCCTGGGGCTTCACTACTTCCTCAACGCGCTTGAGAGCTTGGACGCGCCACTCGCCTCGGATCGTTCTATGGGAACGCAAGACGTCACGGTGAACCCTAAACCCTAAACCCCAAACCCCAAACCCTAAACCCTAAACCCTGAACCCTGAACCCTGGCTTGGACCTGAGTCCTGGGCTCAGCAAGGGTTCGCACGTGAGGGGTGCCAAATGGAGCGAGCAGAGGGGTGCCGGAAGAGTCTGGATAGTCTTCAAGTTGTCGACGCAAAGAGCCCTGGATAAAGTTCTGACGAGCGCGTGCATTGAGCCAACTGAACCCTAAAATTGGGGTCAAGGCCTAGACCTAGACACGAGATAGTTGTGTTGTAGACGTTTAGAAGTAAGCTTACTACTACTAGGCTCTGGGCCCTAAGCATCCTGAGTCTGCAGGGGTGGCTAAGCCCTTAGAGATTGTGGCTTGCTTGTGGCTCCAGGCCCTAAACCCTAAACCCTAAACCCTAAACCCTAAACCCTAAACCCTAAACCCTAAACCCTAAACCCTAAACCCTAAACCCTAAACCCTAAACCCTAAACCCACCCCATGTGAGGTATGCCTTGCAACATCCTGGAGAGGAGCTCAGCTGCCTGTCTTGTTGAGGTAATGCAGGGGTCGGTTTTTTTGCTTAAATTTATTCCGATGGTCCCTATGTAATTATATGATAATACCCCCCCCCCCCCCACCCAACCCTCTTCTAATTGCTAAGGCCGGCCTTGAGTTTGAGACTCATGGGATGTGTTTTTTGGTTTGATGCGTGCGCATAGCTGAAAGAGCTGGGGACTAGGGAGTAGCGTTTAGGATGTAGACTTGGGGCTTAGACCTAAGTTCCTAACCCTAGTCTTGTTGAGGCTGCGGTGTTCTTTTTCGCTTTAGTGAGGATCCTAAACCCTAAAATCTTCCCACTGGTTCTTAGTAGGAAATCAAAGAATGCGGTACATTACACACCCCCATGTACACCGACTAAGGGATATCAGAGGGTACCTCATTCCCTCATTCCATACTTAGAAGCAGTTCGCCGTGCTTGTTGCGAAGTTACAGCCCGGAGCGCCTGCGGAAGAATGCAAGGGCTTGCCAAAAAAAACAACGCAAGTGTGATTCTCCGTAAACCCTAAACCCTAAACCCTAAACCCTAAGCCCTAAGCCCTAAACCCTAAACCCTACACTACACCCTGAACCCTGTGCTGTTGCATCTTTGCTTCGGCTTCTGTTCCGGGCTTCGGGCGGGGCCCTGACACAGCCATAAACTGTTTTTAGTGTGTAAGGCCCTTAGTGTGGTCCCTGACCCTTGTGGTTTAGGGTTCAGGGCTTTTGGGTTTAGGGTTTAGGGTTTAGGGTTTAGTGTGGTCCCTGACCCTTGTTTATAGGCTTAGGCATCCGAAGTATGGGCCTTATGATGTATAGTGCATATAAGGCCTATAGGACAAGGAAGCCAAATTTAAGGGCCCAACCCTAAACCCTTCAGGGCCCAGACTCTTAAGGGGTATGAGGAGGGACCCTTGTAAGGGACCTTCGGTTTTTTTTTTTTTTTTTTTTTTTTGGGGGGGGGGGGGTTATTTAGGGCCTACTTAGGTATAGAGGGACTACATGAAGTATGTCTAGGGGTTATATATAGGCGAGGAAGATTAAGGGTCCCTTCTAGGGGGCTTAATACTTGGAATCCTACAATTGCAACTCTGGGCTCTTCCCTGAACCCTAAACCCTAAACCCTAAACCCTAAACGCTGATTCCTTCGGTGCCCCCCTGGAAGACAGCACGGGAGTCTTTCAGACTTGAGGGCTTTAGGATGTAGTTGGGCGGTTATGACCTCGAACCCTAAACCCTAAGTCCTAAACCCTAAACCCTAAACCCTAAACTTAAGCTATTGTAATGTTTAAACCATCGGAGGGGCGACTGAGGGTCTGCATATTTGATGGCGGAAGAGCGGCAAGACTGAGGTTACCTGGGAGCAACTATCGCGAACCTTGCAAGCAACTCTTTGGTTCTTAGTAGGGAATGAGGGAATGAGGGCCTCATGTACTCCCTTAAAGGGTCTATATATATATATGTATGTATATATATATATATGTATGTATATATATATATAGGGCCCTCATTCCCTCATCATCAAGAAACGGGGGGCAATGGATGCTACCGTTCTTGGTTCTGTTCCACGATGAGCTGATTGGGACTTGACAGGTATGTACACTTGGCACATAGATACCTGCGATCTCTACGCGGCTTGTTTTGGGTGACTGGTTTGCCAGTGTTTAGGCCGAGGGGGGTTGGAGGAAACCTAGTCCACGCCCCGGTCGATTATGGAGTTGGGTGTGCCCAAAAATGCATGTATACATACATACATACACGCACACACACACATACATGCATACACACACATGTATACATATATATGTATGTATGTACATACATACATACATACATACATGCATACATGCATCCACACATACATACATACATGCATGCATACATACATACATACACGCATACACACATACACACAGACACATACATACAGACATACATACATACGTACATGTGTGTGTGTGTTGTGTGCGTGTGTTTTCTCTTTTTTTTTTGTGGGCTTGCTTCATCGCCTGGAGTGCCACAAGTTGGACCCCCTGAAAGAAAAGCTCGACGGCCCACCGTCGACCCTGATGCCCCCCAGACTGCTTTGCTTATCGGGTTCTTAAGGGAGGCGGGTTCACGGGGGTAGGTACCTAAGGAACCTTGGGGAAGCTTGGAGTATTTGGGAACCTTGAGTTTGCATCATCATACCCCCCTTGGAGCCCCCCCCTCCCTTAAGGACCCCAGAATCTGCCAAGGACTTTGGTTTGGATCTGGGGATCACCCATGGTCTTCCGCTTCCTGAGCATCATCGCAACCTTAGTGGATGGCCACTACACCCAGGTCTGCGCATCAGGAGACGGCCTGGGGGGGTTCTCTGTTTGTCCTGGTTGAAGGTTTAGGGTTCGGGTTTAGGGGTTAGGGGTTAGGGGTTTAGGGTTGAGGTGTCGGTCTTGAACTTGGGTTCTGGGCCACCAGGCCAGGCGACATATCAGCTAGCTGTCTGTATGTAGACATATACACATGTTTGTATGTATAAGCGGATATCTATATGTATGATTGTATGTGTATATGTATATATATATATACATGATATGTCTCTCTCTCTCTATGTCTAGTTGCAAACGCATTGTTAACTCCCAACAGCGCGTTCTGTTGGGTCTCGGGGTCACGGACATGCTGAAACAAGTGCAACGGCCGGACAAAAACCGTAGAAACAAATCATTCCGGAAATGACCGAATATGAAGCTATGATGTTAAGTCATTGAATGGACAATTGTGTGCATCGTTTGTCTGTTTGTATATTCATACGTGCGCATAGTTGCTCACGTTGCACTAGGTCACAATATCACACCCGAGTGTACTGGCATGCAGGCTCCTAAACCTTAAACGGCTAGATAAGCTGGGTTGTGCTTAGGGATAGTTTTCGATTTCCCTTCTTCCTTAAAATGGAACCTATGGCCATCAGCCCGGAACCACCGTCGAGGCTCTCTAAGTACAATCTGCACGTTGAGAATGATTGTTGAGGAGACTCAGAGGTACCCAAGTGCCTAAACACACCAAAACCTCACATCACAAAGCTCATGAACCTGCACTCTGTGAATGTATCATGGTTCGGGGCTCAGTCAGGGTAGGGCCAAGGACGTAAACAAATCTGAGGCAGCTTAGATCCGAAGATGGCAGATACCAGGTGTTTCTGAGCATTCCTTGCCGTGCGAATAGTCCTGGAACCCTTTTCGCCATTGCCGGCCAGCCTTGCGTAAGCACCCCCCACACACGCGAGCTCTAAGTAGTCGGGTTTCTAAGTCCCAGGGTCCGTGTTACCCCCTATAACACAAGTATCTTGGGGGGGGGGGGGTATTTGATATCAGGGGGTAGGGGGGGGGGGACTTAAGTTTGGCATAGAGGTCCATGCGTCCATGGGCCTACGTACGTCATCCGCTTTCGCGAGGACTGGCATCTATCGTCTTCCACAAGGCCCTTCGCACGCCCGCCAGCGTCGCAAAGACACTCGGATGGAACAGCCATTCAGTTGGGATTTGTGGTACTTTACTACTGTAACTTTAGATCCTTACCTTTTTTGGGTTTATTGGGTTTCTTATTAAGGCAGCTAAAAGTTTAATTTATAGCTACCCTGCTAAGAGCAGCCAAGTTGGGATTTGGGCTTCGGTGTCTTCGGTTTAGAAGGCCGATGGGTATTGCCTAGATGTTGGGTTTCCCTAAGCACTAAACCCTAAACCCTAAAACCTAACCCTAAACCCTAAACCCTAAACCCTTGAATTCCTGCAGCCTCAATTTGAGTCTCCATGGGGTCCCCATGAATAACGCACGCCACCCCACATCGGAGGATCTGTGTTTAAACCGGACCCTAAACCCTAAATCCTAAACCCTAAACTTTCCCTAAACCCTAAACCCTAAACCCTAAACTTTCCCTAAACCCTAAACCCTAAACCACAATCTTTGAGCCGGTCGGTTTCAGCCACCGGCTATTGGCGCAGACCTGAAGAAACCCGAAACCTACCATTTTGTTCAGGTCCTTGCCATGACTAACCCCTTATAGGATTCTCAGGCAACCTACAAAACAGTAGGTTTTGGGTTCTTAATCTATAAAGGAGTTTACAGGCCCCAGACACAGCACTAAACCCTAAACTCCTGAAACTCTGAACACCTACCCTCTGGTGCAACAAGCCAACGTGATCCGTCCAACGAGGCCAGAATCCCGCGAGAGGGCTCCTCCTGCTGCAGCTAGACGTTGCCTTGTTGTGAGATCGTTCAGGGTTTAGGGTTTAGGGTTTAGGGTTTGGGGTTCAGTATGCTTGGGTTTTTCTACCTGGTCTATAGTTCACAGACCCTAAGGATCCATCCACCTCAATATGATAGTCTTGGGCCCTAAAGTCTCAAGGTAGGAGGTACTTTAAGGCGCAAGTATCGCATATTTGGGTACGTGAACCCTTTTTTTGGGTAGCCTAAACTCTAAACCCTGTAATTGCCTACAGCCCTTCGTATTCTCACCCCAAGCTGCACGCTTCGGAGAGGTCTGCGTGACAGTTCGCATAAACCCTAAATCCTGAACCTTAAACCCGAAACCCTAAACCCGAAACCCTACAGGGTTTGCAGGCCAAGGGGTTGTATCGTCATAACCTGAAAATTAGGAATCGGGTTCTTAAGGTAGGGTTTAGGGTCTGCTTCAATCGTGATCGAAGAGCTCACCCCTCAGGGCCCATGTACCTATGCATACTCGGGCCTTCAAAGGGATCCTATATCGTAGTCGTAAGGGCCAAGTGACCCTAAACCCTAAACCCCAAACCCCAAACCCTAAACCGATTTACGCCCATGGCTGTTTAGAAGTTTGGCATAGCGGGGATCGGGCTGGTCTTCTGCACATTGCATGTCTATTCACTTTGTAGTTTAGGGTTCAGGATATGCCTCTCTCTGCCACTCGCCTTGCCCCACCCTCAGCGCGAAAAACCCTGACTCAGACGCGCAGGGCCTCCCTAGACCCTAAACCCTCAACCCTCAACCCTAAACCCTAAACCCTAAACCCTAACCCTTGACCCTAAACCCTAGACCCTAGACCCTAGACCCTAAACCCTAAACCCTAAACCCTAAACCCTAAACCCTAAACCCTAAACCCTACACCCAAACCCTAAACCCTAAACCCCAAGCCGGTTGCTCTAATCTTCCGTCCTCCTTGGCTCCAGGAGGACGGGGACGAGGAGCCAGACCCGTTCGGGAACCACAAGCCCAACTTGGTGCCTCGACGGTTCAGGGTTTAGGGTTTAGGGTTTAAGTAGGGTTTAGGGTTTAGGGTTCAAGGTTCAGGGTATAGGGTTTAGGGTTTAGGGTTTAGGTTTTAGGGTTTAGGGTTTAGGGTTTCGGGTTTAGGGTTTAGGGTTTAGTAGCTTTAGCGCCCAAGTGTCTCACTGGAGGGGTGTATGGACCCCTAGGGCCTGGGCTACCTACCAAGCCGTGCATACTAAGGGTTTAGGGTTTAGGGTTTAGGGTTTAGGGTTTAGGGCTTAGGGCTTAGGGCTTAGGGCTTAGGGTTAGGGATGTTTTGGGTGGGGAGACCTGCAAAAGGGTTTGGGATTGAGGGTTTAGTGGCCTTTCTTTCCGACACGGTAAGCCGTTCCGAAGTGATGGCCCCTGGTGCTGGCAAAGCCCCACGTTTCCCACTGGAACTGCATGTGTAGGTTTTTTCTTTCTGCACGTCATTTCTGCACACAATTTTTAAACCCTAGTCGCCCAAACCTCCAAAGCCATAATGTGGGGTGTTTCCTACAAAAGGGGTACAGCTTCTGACCCGAAAATGTAGTAGAGTCCCCCTCAAGAAGGACAGCTAAGACCTTTAAGAGGGTACCACGATTATAGGAAACCATCCCCCCCCCCACATTTAGTTTATGGGGAAGCATAATTACTAATAGTATTCCCTTGTGGTCCCTGTTATCAATTTACTTCAAAATACCCTATTCTAATTCTTCAGGCCCTATATTTTCAGTAGGTTCCCTTTGCAAGAAGCTACGACATTTTGCGAAGCTTAAGCCTCTGTCTTCGATCCCTCCTACACCCCAGCTCCGCAACCATTTGCACCAGGATTTCTGGTTTCTGACCCTAAACCCTTAACCCTAAACCCCAAACCCTAAACCCCAAACCCTAAACCCTAAACCCTAGCGTACTCACCCAGACCCGCTGTGGCTTCGCATCTGCCTTGTTGGTGGACCCCTTGGCAGTTGAGGCCCTATCATCCCTAAATACTCAAGCCCAGATGTATATCCCTAAACCCTAAACCCTAAACCCTAAACCCTAAACCCTAAACCCTAAACCCTAAACCCTACTGTAAATGCACATCCCTCAGCAAAAAAAGGGGCGGGTGCTTGACAGGTGCAGATCCTCAACGTCGACATCGTCGACTGCTGGGGAGGCCTTATTCGAGCCCCTCGGGCTCAACTATCAAGGGACGAAAGGAGGGGACCCCTTACAAGGGACCTTAGGGCTTGTTTAGAGGCTACTTATGTGCGTACGGACGATACAAGGTATAGATATATATATATATATATATACGGGTTATTTAGGGTCTCGTCCAGGGCTCCTTCCCTTTCCCAAGCTACTACGCCCTCGTGAAGCCTCCACCCTGAACTACATCGCTTGCAAGTGCTGTCGGCCCCTGTATTCGGAGTAGGCCCTTCTATATTGGGTTTAGGGTTAGGATACACCCCCTCTAAGCCAAAAAGGGCACCCTTGGTTGTTTTTGTTCCTAGGTCCCAGGTTAGGGTAGTAGCAAGTCCGGGTAGGGTTGTTTTTGTTGGGGCGGCCTGGCCGTGTTGCTGTGTTAAGACTTGTTGTTTGCTTTGTTGTTTTGTAGGGTGCTTTTTGGGTGGGTCGGCAGTGAATGTGGAAGATGGTTTAGGGTTTAGGGGCAGACGGTGACGATGCCAAGGACTGCCTCTGCGTGTTCGTGGCGCCGTTTTCCATGTTTTTCTTGTTCATCATCATGGTTACGCAGATCAGCTTCTCTGCCATCGCCACCTGCTTGAAGCTAAGTGACAGGCTGAAGAGGCATGTGCGAGGTTGCAAAAGGGTTTAGGTAGGGAGGGCTTAGAATTGAGGAGGGTGTTGCACGCAAAAGACACCCCATGGGTTAGGGTTTTTTGAGTGACGAACACGACTTCTGCTAGGAAGAATATCTCTCGCCCTACACATCCAGGTACGAAACCAAAGTATTGGATTGTTAGCACATGCTCTAGGAGCTAAAAAGAGGAGCCTCGTCATAAGGAGCTACATTAGGGACTGTGTTCGGTCCTAGCATTACGTACCGCGAAGATCCCTACTACCCCCCTCTTTCCTACCCCCCACCCCCCCAAGCCCGAAAGTTCCCCGCTTAAATAACCTTAACAAGGCTTAATTAATTTTCCCCAATAGCCTTAGGTCTGGGGGGACCCAAGAGAGGGGGGTAGTATGAAGAATCACCCTAAACCCTAAACCCTAAACCCTAAACCCTAAATCCAGACTCCTGAGGGTGGAGCGAGCTACATCCTGCCCGTGATGATTATGATGGGCACGGCAACGCAGATTGCCATGGGCTACTGGAAGCACCGCTGGCACGATTTACTCAGGGGGGTTTAGGGTTTAGGGTCGTAGGGCCGTAGGGGACGGGTGACTGAAGCCTCCCCTGGGCTCGTGATCGGATGCTTTGTGTTCTCTTGCGGGGGATGTCATTGGTCTGTCGAAGCCCAAAAAACTGGGCTAAACCCTGAACCGTAAACCCTAAACTCTAAACCCTAAACCCTAAACCCGTCGAACCCTGCGGCTTCTTCATCATGATTGCGAGGAACCCTAAGTTCCCGGCAGGGTTCGCAGGGTTCTGGGCCCACGACTTGCCAAAAGGTTCGGAGAGGTTCGAGGTTCGTCGATGTTCGATACTTTCTTCTTAAGAACTCACGGGTTTAGGGTTTAGGGTTTAGGGTTTAGGCAACATCCCAAAGTATACTAGGTATCGATTTGGGATAGTTGTTACTTTCCCTTATTGTTTAATATGGAGCCCTAGTTATAAAGAATTTGGGGACTCTTGAAATCGATACCTGGTATATCTATATATGTGTACATGATATTCTGCCGCACACACCGTGCCTTGGAATTTCTTAGAAACACAAGACTGCCTCGACTTGTCATGCATCGATTATCGCACCGTCTCACATGTTCCGAACCCTATGAATCCCCAAAAAATGGTTCTTCGAGCTTCGTCGAACATTTTCGGGTTCGTCGAACGTTCGCCCCATGTCGGGCCCGCCCCTCTACTATTGACCTTGCCGAATCCTAACCCCTAATTTTGCTTCAAGGGTTCGACTCGAAAGGAACACCAAGTAAAATACCAAGACCACCGGATAACTGTCATGGTTTCCAGACTGCAGCAAAACCGTCTAACCACCTTAAGTAATCAGGTCTCGTTTTCTCCTTGACCAGCTTCTTTTTTTGAGGGTCCATGGGTAGGCCGACAATGCCGCGGGAAACCGCTGAAAGTGTCGCATACACAATGCAGCCTAAATGCCCCTCAAAGATGTACTCGGACTCCTAAACCCAACCCCCAACTTAGTAGTAGAGTAGGTAACCTTTAACCTTTTTGGGTTAATATATTCCCCTTATAATCCCAAAGGTTAACCTTTAAAACCCCTAGGTACTGGACCCCTAAACCCCAAAGCTGAGAGTTCCCGCAGGATGTACTCAGACTCATCCCCCTAAACCCTAAACCCTAAACCCTAAAACCCTAAACCCTAAACCCTAAACCCTAAACCCTAAACCCTAAACCCTAAAACCCTAAACCCTAAACCCCCAAAACTGAGAGTTCCCGGCAGGATGTACCAAGTGTTCCTGGATGCGCGCTTGAAGTGGCTCACGGCCAGCCTGCGCTTCAATGTGAGGGTCCTTGAGGGTCGTTGAGGTTCGGGGTGTGGTTCGGTAGGGTTTAGGGTTTAGGGTTTAGGGTTTAGGGTTTAGGGTTTAGGGGTTTAGGGGTTTAGGGGTTTAGGGGTTTAGGGGTTTAGGGGTTTAGGGGTTTAGGGGTTTAGGGGTTTAGGGTTTGAAGGGTGGAAGGGTTTGGGGTTTGTAGTGGCTGATAGGGTTCGTAGGGCTTTTGGGGGTGGCCTTCGCTTGATCTCAGGGCCTCACTGCTTTCGACTGGAGGCGTTTCAAATGAATGTGTAGCAAACTACCCAGCAGTGCACTAAAACCCTGAGACCCTTAAAATAAGGACCCCAAGAAGGTACCCTAGATTTCCGAAAACCCCATAAGGGGACCCTTAGTAAGTTCTTTACATTTTCTTAGCGCACACAAGCAGGGACCTCATTTTTCCAGAACTGCCCCTATACCCCACAAGCCGGGCTGTATCATTTTCGAGACTCAAAGTCCGTTTTAACTCGGTGAGCCCGCATGGAGAACATGTTTACAGTTTAAGTTTATTCCCCTAAACCCTAAAACCCTAAACCCTAAACCCTAAACGTTTAGGGTTTAGGGTTTAGCCTATAAGTCCTACATGCCCAAAGAGCGACGATAAGGGAGGCAAGCCTTAAAGCATTAAAACACCTCAACCCTATCGAGCCTCTGAAGCCCTCAACCCTTGAAGCCCTAAAATAGACCCCCCCCCCCCCCCCAAATAGTAGGATTCCAGCATACTAAGAACCCCCCAAAAAGCTACCCCCCAACATCGGAAACCACCAAAAAGCAGTGCAGCTCTAAACCCTAAAATCTAAAATCTAAACCCTAAACCCTAAACCCTAAACCCTAAACCCAAATAGCAGTGCAGGAGTCGCTGCTCTCGGTCCGAACCATCAAGTCTTTGGCTTGGGAGAAGCTGGCCCAGGATAAGCTCCTCAAGGCTCGTAGTTCGGATTTCGGGTTTAGGGCTTGTATCCTGGTGCAAAAGGGGTTAAAGCTTAGGGTTCGGTTTTAGGGTTATATCCTGGTGTACTCCTGGGTCGAGGTAGAGTGTTTACTTGCTGTTTGCTTAAGACCCCCTCAAAAAGAACACTCTTCCTCCCAGGGGCCCCGTAGAGATGACTTTTCCTACTTGTTGGGTGGTTCTTCAGCAAACAGTAGTGTACGAGAAGCTCATCAAAGCTTTCTGTTCAGGCTGTTTATGATGTGTGGGGGGTCTCAGGTAGATGTAGGTTGCAGACCCCGAGCACTGAGCCGCTTAGGCGGGTGGTTGTCTCAGGGTTTGTGTCCGGCTTGGTAAAAATCTCAGTCTGCAGGGTTTCTCCCAAAGAACCCATGTACCTGTAGAGTGTACTCTTGGGCCCTAAAGCTACTGGATAAAAAAAACGCATTTAAGTATATACTATATAGGTACATGGACCCCTAAACCCTAAACCCTAAACCACGCGCTCCGCCATCAATACCCTTGTAAACCTCAAACTTGAAGCCCTCGAACAGGTTCTTCTTAAGGTCGGTCGAGGTCCCCCTTAATACTAACAGTCCTTAATAGGGATTATAATAGGGGGTTACTATAAACCCTAAACCCTAAACCCGAGGCAACATCCCAATCTAGGTCGGTCGAGCCCCCCCCCCCCCCCCCCCCCGGAACTTACAGGCAAGAGATGGAGAGATCTACTGCGCCAAGATGATGGCAGCGACTTGCGCAGTCAACTAGGGTTTAGGATTTCGGGGGGAAGGTGCTGGTTCGAACTGTTTTCCCAAAGGGCCCATGCACCTCTAGAGTTTCTGCTTGGGCCTTAAAAGGGTTTCAGGGTTCAGAGTTTACACACACACACATGCATACAGACAAGATGCCGGTTTGTAGATACAGGCCGATCTTTTCATGGCAAGAGGGCGTGGGCGTGGATAGCCTCGGGGAACCCTAAACCCTGAACCCTAAACCCTAAACTCTCTGTCGCTGAGGTCATGACCGGCGTCATGTCAGCGGTGGCGCACACCCTGCCGTGGGGCGTGCTGGTCATCACCATGTGGATCCTTCTGGCGGAAAAAGGCGGGCACTCTCTTCGGGTCACACTCCCACCATGTCCTGACACCTCCTCGCATAAGTGTAGGCGTCAAACGCCCCTACCTTTTCGGGTGAGGGGTGTGAAAGGTAGGAAAGGCGTCGATCTCAGCAAGACCCCAAAACTGAGCATCCCTACATTTACTAAACCCTGAATCTTTGAACCCAAAACCCTCATCTCTGAACCCCCTATAGGCCCTAAACCTGAACTCCTGAACCCCATTCCAGGCAAAGGCAGAGTGGCCGCGCACGAAGTCATGGTTGTCCAGCGTCTCATCCAGGCCCGCAAGCTGCCAGGAGTCCTTAAAGCGTTTGGGGTTGGGGGTTTAGACCCCAAACCCCAACCCTTTACCGTACAGCCTCATAAATACCTAAACCCCTACTGTAAACCCTTAAACCCTAAACCCCTAACCCCTAAACTTCTAAATTACCCTAAACTACCTTATGCCCCCGGGCCCTTAGGCATCCCACCTGGGAGGTTTCGGGCTGAGGGGGCTTACAATCTTTGGGTTTCCAGGGTTTGCTAAAGCTTCGGCTCAATTGTGAGCGGTTTAGGGTTTAGGGTTTAGGGTCCTTCTCCGCCCTGCCAGACTCAAGGGGCCTGAGAGGTGTGACGAACACCGAAACTCTCTTGTTCTCCTTGTGGGTACTGGCACTTGGGGATCACATGCGCCTTTTCATAGGGTTCATGTGCTTCCCAAAAGCAACAGAGCAACCCTAATGTCTAAACCCTATCCCAAAGGGTCCATGTACCTCTATACGATATACTTGAACCTTCATGGAGTTCCTATAAAGTCTACGGTTACATGTTGTATAAGGGGGGACATCCCAACGTACATGGATCCTTAGAGTAGATAACAACCTGCAGTAAGCTCAACCTTTGGCTCCCAGAGCAGCAGCAGTCCGGTCCTTGTGTTCTTCGTTCAAGATGTATCCCCGACAGCGCGCCCTAAACCCTAAAACCCAAAACCCAAAACTCTGGCCCTGAACCCTAAACCCCAAACCCTAAACCCAAGGCGAAAGCTGGGCCCCGGCCCAAAATATCCCAAAGGTAGCCCTATGGTTTAGGGTTTAGTGTCTAGGGCTCGGGTGCAGATTAGAACGTGCACAAGCCTTCCACTGCACCTTGCACTTCTACCCTCCTTGCAGGCTTCAGGTCTTGCAGCGCTAGACGACACAGCCTGAAGCCCTGAACCTCGACGCTTTGAAATCCTGGGCCCTAAGACCCATCCTATACCTTTAGGATTTAGGGTTTAGGGTTTAGGGAAGATCTTGAGTGGCGGTGCTGCATGTGTTCTGGCTGGACCTCTGACAGACCAGCGGCAAAAGGGTTTAGGGTTTAGGGTTTAGGTGCTAGGGTTTGCTCTCAGCCCAACGGCCCTGCATGAAGCCACACTCTGAAGACTTAGGAGCCAAAGCCCTTCCAATCGACGGTATAGGCTTTCTAGGTTCTGGGGCAAGGGTTTAGGGCTTGGGGTTTGGGGTTTAGGGTTTAGGGCTTAGGGTCCGCAACAAGGCCCTGCTGGCAAATATCAGCCAGCTCTCTACCGGAATGGGGCGCTTTATGGTCGTTCCGAACAGCTTCAACCGAATCAGGCGCGGTCGTTCAGGATTCATGTTTACGGCTCGGCAGGCTATTCCTCAAAGCCCTCTTAGGACGGCCCAGTAGTACCTTGTTAGGGTGAAACCCCAAAATACTAAACCCCAAACCCCAAACCCTAAACCCAAAACCGAAACCCCAAACCCTAAACCCCAAACCCTACAGCAAACCCTAAACAACTTCACAAGAGAAATTCCCTTTCGTCTCCTGGCTTACAGGGAGCCAGCCCTTTCATGCCCAACGCTCTAGGCCCTGGGGGCCCTGAGCTTGGGGTTTAGGGTTTAGGGTTTAGGCTTTAGGCTTTAGGGTTTAGGGTTTAGGGTTTAGGGTTTAGGGCGATAAATCCTGCCTCACCCCTTTAAACCTCCAAGCTAATTAAAGAGATGTTCGTTATGCAGGAGGGATGCCGCCTTAACCCATGGCTGTCACACCTGATCTGCAATCCATCCAACCATCTATCCATCCATGAGATGCAGCTTTGGATGCCCCAAGGGTCCATGTACCTATACAGCATATAAACCCTAAACCCTAAAACCCCAGGCCCCGAACACTAAACCCTAAACCCTTAACCCTAAACCCTAAACCCTAAACCCTAAACCCTAAACCCATCCCCCAAGTTCCCATATAGTAGCTCTAGCTCCCTGGCATATACTATACATGTACATGGGCCCTCAGGGATGCCAGGGTTTAGGGTTTAGGGTTTAGGGTTTAGGGTTTAGGGTTTAGGGTTTAGGGTCAGTTCGTAGGGATTGATTTTGAAGGTCTAGGCATCGCGCGGTGCGCACCTGCTCTTTCGACCTAGAGCTTCACTCCCAGTAAGCCCACACAGCCCTACCCCCCCCCCCCCCAAAAAAAAAAAAAAACAGAAAAAACAGAAATCAAAGGCACACACCGAAGATCGCAGTGAACTCCACATTGACATGCAATCCCCCCCCCCCCCCCCCGCCAACCGAAATAGGATAATAGCACAAAACCCTCAACCCAAACCCAAAACCCTAACCCCTAAACCCTATATAAACCCTAAACCCTAAACCCTAAACCCTAAACCCTAAACCCTGTCTTCAGGCGTTTCTTGGCCCAACCGGATCGGCCTGAGGCCACTTTGGCGCCAGATGCAGCAGAGTCGAGCCCAAAGAGCCCATTAGGGTTTAGGGTTTAGGGTTTAGGGTTTAGGGTTTAGGGTTTAGGTTTAAACTGGGTTGCGTTTCGGGATAAATGTTATTTTCCGTTCTTTCCTTGCAAAGGGAACGTTTTCATAGTTAATTCTCAAGGGGTCTAAAGCACAAGTTAGTTTAATTTAAGCATGCATCCAAATTTCAAAGTAGGATTCCTCAATTGAGGTGTATTCGGCTCTTGGAAACAGAAACGCCTCAGTTTTGGCTTTTTGCTTTGGAGTCGAGACTTTGACCTTTTGCTTCCTGGACATGTTCTCAAGTGCCGTCCGCCTTGGAACATGGCTGGCTAACTTGGGGGGCGCCCCCAGCTTGAACTAGAACTTCATCGTAGGGAGTTAGGGATGCAAGAACTTCTATAAACCCTAAGCCCTAAACCCTGAACCCTAAACCCTAAACCCTATAAACCCTAGACAGACCCCAAAACTCCGAACTAGACCCCGGCAAAAACCGCCGCATGCTTTGGGAGGGTGTGGTTCGACAGCCCGCGGTGGAGACCCCGTGCCTTGCCTGCTCTTTACACATGCGGTTGAGGGTTTATAGGGTTTAGGGTTTAGGGTTTGGCGTTTAGGGTTTAGGGTTTGGGGTACCTTCAGAACCCAGTACCTACTTGTGTGTAGGTTGCCTAAGGATCCTAGAAGGGATCTTGCAGTAGCAACCTACAAGACAGTAGGTTTGGGGTTCTGAAGATAGGGGTTGAGGGTTTAGGTGTTCAAAAAGTTTTGGGCTGCAAGGGGGTTTAGGGTGCAGGGTTTAGGGTTAGGGGTTTAGGGTTTAGGGTTTAGGGTCCTTAAAAAGGGTACCCTTATTGTAAGCACTATAGTATGTTGGGCTACCAAGGTCAAACCAAAGGTCGAATGCTTGGCAACTCGTTCAGTCGACCGAGGAACGGACCAGCCATCCGGGTGATGGGAAGCTTCACCTATGCTGGGACGCGGCTGCGTCTGCAATTCTTTGCGTGGGGTGGGGGGGGGGGGGGGGGGGGGGGGGGGTTGAAGAGGGGGTTCTGATGGATTTTGAGTTGTGGTACTTGCGTTGCGTTGTCTAGGACCCCGAAGCCCTAAACTTCAAGGGCATTCCTAAAGATCGTGTTTCCAGCGTTGGTAGGGGTCAAGGTTTCAAAGTGCAGGCTGCTTTAAGGGCAAAGCGTTGGTGTTCAGCTCTGTGGTCGCTACCATGGAGTGACACGGGGGACCCCAAGGCCCTAAACCATGAGGGGTTAAGGTTTTGGGTTTAGTGTGGTGAAGGTCTTTGCGTCAGCTTCTTTAGGGGTGTGATGCTTCCGAGCTCGATGAGGGCCCCCGTTAGTTCACCCTTCACCCTGATGGACGGGTGGATTTCAGGATGTCTGAACCCCAAACTCCAGGCCACCACTAAAGATGCAGCCTAGAATTCTGAAGACACTACACTCTAAAACCTAAACCTTACACCTTAAACCCCAAACCCCTAAACCCCTAAACCTCCCAAATTACTAGCTTGCGCACCAAAAAGAGGAGTCACTTAGGCCCTGGAGACCCTGGATGAAGCCTCGGGATGTTCCCAATTCTACTAAAAGTCCTTAATCGGGATTAGAACAGGGGCTACTGTAATCCCGATTAAGGACTGTTAGTATAAGGGAGAACCATCCCAACCCTAAACCCTATATCCTAAACCCTAAACTCCTGTAAAGCCAGCTAGCATAGGGGGGAATCATCCCAAGCTAAGCCTCATAACCGAGCCGAGGAAGCCGGTCTTGAAAGACCTGGACCTTGCCGTTCCGCAGGGGGCGACCTGGCCATTCGAGTGCTGAGTTTTGTTTTTTAGGATTTGGGGCTTAGGCTCCAATCCGATACCCCTAAACCCTAAACCCTAAACCCTAAACAAGTCTTGTGGACATTTGACGGATGCTGGAACTTCGAGCACGGGCGAACGGCTGTAGCACTGTAGCAATTCGTAAATTTCGCGACCAGGGTTCAGATTTCTGGTTTAGGGCACTTGAAGATATGCTGGGGGGCTCTGGTATTCAGTTTGAGGCGCTCCCAAAACGAACCCCAAACCCCAAAACCAAGCCTAAGCCATTTCCTGCAGAGTAGCATAAGCCAGACAGCTGGCAAGAAAATAAATCCAAAAAAGAACTCATTTTGCCTAAGCCCGAAGTCTAAACTAAATGTCTCAGGAACCAGTATGTGGCTTTGGGGCTCCGGTTTTGTGCATGAGCTTCCAGAACCAAACAGAACTTTTGGGAGGGTTAGGGTTTAGGGTTTAGGGTTCAGGGTTTTAGCCCTTTTTGCCAACTGCAGGAGCTCGTTGGGATCATCGGACGAGTCGGCTCGGGCAAGAGCATCTCGGCAGCATTCCTGGCATAGCTGGGCCTGACGCGCTGCCGGTGCCTTCCTTGTAGTTTTTAGGGTGTAGGATTTAGCGTTTAGCGTTTAGGGTTTAGGGTTTAGGGTTTAGGGTTTAGGGTTTAGGGTTTAGGCCTGACATTGCAGCATGAGTCTGGCGAACGTGCAAAGGAAAGGCACAAAAGAGAGTTTCAGTTTTCAGGTTAAGCAAAAAATCAGAAGACCCTTACGATAACCCCAAAGAGTCCCCCCCTCCTCCCCTCCCCACCCCTCAACAAGAAAGAAGCTGAAAGTGCAGAACACTTAGCCCTAAACCCCAAACCCTCAACCCTAAACCCCAAACCCTAAACAAAAAAAAACCCAGAACCTGCGGATGGCAAGGCACCTTCTTGCAGACTCTCATTGGAGAGCTCCACCCGCTCGGCGGGAGCGCAGTGTTTGAGTTTTTCCCTTGAACAACAAAAATCGCTAAAGCCCAAACCCTAAACAGGCCCTAAACCCTAAACCAGGGTCCTCGGCTTTTCCAGTTTGGAGTTCAGGGTTGGGCCCTCATTCCGACTTATTCCCTCTTTTTTAGAGTTTAGGTTCCCTTATTAGCCCCTGTACATCAAAGATACCCTTTTCTGTTCCCAGGGTTGAAGGAAGTAGGTACCCAGTCTTCCTTTTGAGGGACTGCACGGGGTAGCCAGTTCCCTACTGAGAACTGAGAACTGGCAAGTTTTCAGGGGCTGCGGAAAGGTACCCTAAAACCTTCCAAACCTTCTAAACCCCCTTAACCTTCTAAACCCTAAACCCTAAACCTTCTACCTTCTAAACCCTAAACCCTAAACCTTCTAAACCCTCCGGCACCTCGGGCTTCCTGTGGTTTGGGGCATGAGGCTTGGCGCAAGTTTCAACTCTCAGGGTGCCTTATGGCTGCGTTGGGGCTTAGGGTTAGGCGTTTGGGTTTAGGGCTTAGGGCTTAGGGTTTAGGGTTAAGGGTTTAGGGTTTAGGGTTTAGGGTTGGGGCTTAGATATGAACCTTGGGGAGATCTTTCGGAGGACTTCCCCTGTCGGCTTTGTCGAAGCTCCCGACACCGCCACTGGCCAGATCGCCTACTGCTCTCAAGCCCTGTGGCCGCTTTTGAAAGGAGATCCCCAAACCCTTAAAGCCTTTCAATAGACTTAAGTTTGCAGGTTTAACCCATAGAAGCCCTCGGCCGTAAACCTCGGCCCCAAACTATGCAGCTTAGGCGTTTAGACCCTAAAGCATGTTACGTGCAAAACCGCAAGCCTTCTTGCAACATCTTTTTGTCCAGAATATTTGAGCAGGAACGCACTGACTCACCTGCAGTTGGAGTTTCTTTAGCACCCATTTGGGGGTTTAGGGTTTAGGGTTTAGGGTTTAGGGTTGAGGGTTTAGGGTTTAGGGTTAAGGTTTAGGGTTTAGATGACTCCTTTCCCACTGCGTCATGCCAGCATTGTGTGCTTGCACATTGGGAGTGGCCTGCTCCCTCTCAAGCCCTCCTTTCTAAGCCAGCTTTCCGTAAAGGATGTCATTATGCTATCAATGGGAGTTTGCACATGAGTAGCGAAGATCTTCCCTATGGAAACATGGATGAGATAGTAGCCGCTTCGGGTTTTTTCTTCAAGAACTGGATCGGGAATGATTTAGAGAGTCTCAGAGGTTATCTGACTTAAGCTCCAGGAAACACTTTTAAGCACCTGGCAACAGAGGCTGCATGTTAACTTTCTGAGGACATAACAGATTCTTCAAACTGGGTTCTATGCCCCCCCTGGGTGACTTCGCAGCTTCCTGAGCTGCTGATTCAGAAGAAGTTACCCGAAACCCTAAACACAAAACCCTAAACCTGCAGATAATCAAGGCCAACAGCCAAGGTGCCTTGGATCTTTGAGGGCACTCTCCGCGAGAACATCGTCATGAATCAGCAGCTCCACCACGACCGCCGCTGCCCCAGCAGGGTTTAGGGTTTAGGGTTTAGGGTTTAGGGTTTAGGGCTTTGGGCGGCGTGTAGAGGGTGTTGCGGGATGCCAACCATGCAAAAAGTGTACCTGAAACATCCCAAAACCCTCGAAGCCCAGCATTTTGGGGCTACAGTTCGGGTATGGCAAGCCTTCCCTTCACCCCCGAAGCCCGAAGCCTAAACCCCTAGACTCTAAACTCTGTAAACCCTGTCAATCCTATAACCCTAAACCCCAAACCCTATCCCTAAACGCTACACCACAAACCCTAGCCCTAAACCCTAAACCCTGCCTTCACGAGGAAAAAGGGTGTAGTGCCCCAGTGCCCCAAGCCTCCCCGCAGTAAAATTCATGCTCCGGATCTTCGGGTGGCAAGCACTGAGCCCTTCAAAGAGGTCCGTAGAAGGTTTAGGGCTTAGGGCTTAGGGTTCAGGGTTTATAAGGGTTTAGGGGGGTAGTATCTTTGCCTGGCAGTTGTCCGCAGTCCAGTTTCAAAAAGGGTGTGTATAGGGTTTAGCGTTTAGCTACGCCATTTAGTGACTCTGAGGAAGGTGCCGATCGTGCGACAGGCCCCATAACTTTGAGCCCCGCGTGAAAGTCCTCGGTTTAGGTTGGGAAGCCGAATGAACGTCTCAGTTCGGGTCGTATACTCGATGCAGGTATATCCGCTGTCAAAGTATATGGGGTTGAGGGTTTAGGGTTTGGTGTTTAGGATCTCAACACCAAGGACCCATCCTTAGGGACAACGCTATGGGTTGAAGAGCCCTAAACCCTAAACCCCAAACCTAAACCCCAAACCCTAAACCCTAAACCACGGCGAAGCGGCTGAAGATGGCCAACTTGCCGGAGAATATAAATACCCCGCGTGACAGGCAATACACCTTGGTTCAAAAGGAAGTTACCATGGTCCCGGAATATGCCCCCCTTTACCTTCTTATAGGGTCTAGGGTTTAGGGTTTAGGGCTAGGGTTTAGGGTTTAGGGTTTAGGGTTTAGGGTTTAGGGTTTAGGGTTTAGGGTTTAGGGTTTAGGGTTTAGGGTTTAGGGCTTCAAAAGGTTCTGAGGCATGGGCCCTTGGGTTCCGAAAGGGTATGCAAAGGGCTGTAGAGGGGTCCCCAAATATGGGACTTCCCCCAGATTGGTAGAAATCCCAGAAATCTCAACAAACCCGAAACCCAGGGGTTTAGGGGTTTAGGGGTTTAGGGGTTTAGGGGTTTAGGGGTTTAGGGGTTTAGGGGTTTAGGGGTTTAGGGGTTTAGGGGTTTAGGGGTTTAGTTTAGGGGTTCAGGGGTTTAGGGGTTTAGGGGTTTCGAGGGCTCAATTTTGTTATCCTTCTTCCTAACCTGGGGGGGGGGGCTCCTCCTTGTAGGTACACTCTTAGAGTCGCAGCGTGGCCCTCGAGACCTGTTTTCTTAAGCCTTTGCCGCCCACCCTTGCATGAGGGTTTAGGGTTTAGGGTTTAGGGTTTAGGGTTTAGGGTTTAGGGTGAGACCGTGAGACCCATCGGAAGACAGAGCACTAAGCCCTAGGCCCGAAACCTCAACCCTCAACAACCCTCCCCACCCGGCAACGATCGCACACACGCACACATACGCACATACACAACCCCAATCCCCCCCCCAAAAAAAAGAACAAAGAGGAGAGATACAAAAGCAAAATAGAGAGAAAAGAGAGAAAGAGAGAGAGAGAGAGAGAGACGTTGGTCGCTCAAGGCTATTACAAGTGCATCCATGCTGCTGGCTTGTCTTCCGACCTCCAAATCTTGCCGGGCGGTGATCAGGCGGGGGACCAAAAGGCCTTGTGGCACCCAAAACCCAAAACCCTAAGTATCTATTTTTTAAGGGTTTTGGGCTTCGTGTTTCCCAAGTCCGGAAACAAGAATCGCCCTAAACCTTGCTGCAGACGCTTTGGGCATAAGCCCAACCCATCACTCACCTCGGATCCCTAGACCCTAAACCCCGAAAAGCGCGAACCCTCAACCCTGAACTTTGAACACCCTACGTAAACCCCGAAAACCCTAGAATCCCTGAACCCTGAAAACCCTAGACCCTGAAGACACCCCAAACCCTGAAAGCCTTGAAGCTTCACTCCCCGCAACCGATCCTGGCAGCAAAAAGCCAGTCTCTGGGTGAAAGGTTTACCTTACGAACTCCCAAAACCAGACTTTTGTGTGTAGGAAACCGAAGACCCCTGAAAGGGGTCTTATTGTAATAGTAATAGCCTGCAACAACAAGTAGGATTTGGGTTTAGAGTTTTGGGCCCTGACTTTCGAAGAACTCAGCACCCAAAGAGCTCAATGCCCTCGCTGGGGATTGTATTTTTACTTCATAGTAGGATCCTTGTGGCATGTTCTGCAATATTCCGTAATCAAAGGATACGTATTGGGCTCTCTGCGTGATGATTTGGAGTTCCGGGTTTAGGGTTTAGACCTACATTGTTGGATGCATGTACGGTTGCCCAGAAAGACGCTAAAGCAAGGCCAAATTCCCCCAGCGTAGAGTATTCAGTGGTCTCTACTCTAAGATTGACTGTCTAGTCATGAAATGAGTGGTACTGAGCTAGAAGGACTGCTATACCACATAGGGTTGAGGATTTAGGGTTTAGGGTTTAGGTTTTTTGGGGGTTCAGGGTTTGAGCTCCTCAAAAGTCAGCCCGGTAAGAGAGCCAGAGATTGAAGGTCACGATCGGCTCCTTCGGCATCCGACTTTCGGGAGGTGAGCCGGGTCGTGGGGGCTTTGTTTGGGGGTTCAGGGTTTTCGGGCTTAGGGTTTGTGTTTAGGGATTGGGGTTTAGGGTTTGGGGTTTGGGGTTTAGGGTTCAGTGGTTTAGTTCAGGTGCCCGCCGCCCAAGCCTGAGTCAAGCCAAAGGCAGTTTAGGCGTCCGTTCGTGGAGCCATGTGGACTTTCCGCAACCTTTCAAGCTTGGTAGCCCAGCGGGTTTAGGGTTTAGGGTTTAGGGTTTTGGGTTTAGGGTTTAGGGTTTAGGGTTTAGGGTTTAGGGTTTAGGGTACCCTTTTCCCTTTTTTGGTTCAAGGTTCCCTTATAAAATATCAAACCCCAAAAAGAGTGCCTTATCGTAATATGGTTACTGGGCTAGCAAGATAATTACAGAGAGGCAAACCTGCCGGCATGAAGGCTTCAGTAGGACTTACAGATTAGGGTTGTTAAGAAGCTATATCAAACTTGCCATTATAAATTTCGATCTTTATGATGTGCTATATTCATATTATGTTAAGTTGATTTCCGCGCCTAAACAGCAGTCCAGAATCAAAGAGATGACACACACACACACACACGAGGTTACGAGGTTACACCTACACAGCAGGAGGTTCCCAGCAAAGATTCTAAGCCCTCCACGCCTATGCCACTCAGCTTCCCACAATGCAACAAGCAGGACAGCGTGCACGAGTGGCTTTGGCACGTGCTGCCTACATGGAGGCGTGGCGCTGTGACCCTCACCCCTGCACTGTGAATTTAGGGTTTGGGGTTTGGGGTTTAGGGTATGCGCCCTGCAAGTCCTTGCACCCCGCGAGGGTTGACAAATGGAGTCATAAGGTGCCGTCAGCATGTGGCAAGTCACAGAACCGCAGGGAAGAGGTGAACAGGTGTGCAGGATCTCGAGTCGTAAACTGTGCAGCTATTCCCAAACTCTGTGGTGCGTTACTGTAACTTTGGATTCTTAGCCTTTTTGGGTTTATTAGGCTTCTTAACAAGGCAGCCAAGCATTAAATTTATAGCTGCCCTGCTGAGTGCAGCCAAGCAAACAGGAACAGGAAAAGAGGGCCTCGTTCAGGCCAGCGAAACTACAGAAAGCAGTCTCTGGAAAAACCAGTCCTCAGGGGCCCAAGAGCCCACTATTTAAGGCGGTTCATCGGTGTTGGCGCCGAGGTTTAGGGTTTAGGGTTTAGGGTTTAGGGCTTAGGGCTTAGGGCTTAGGGCTTAGGGCTTAGGGTTCCTGATTATTTGGAGTTGTGGCCCCTTAGGGAGTTGTGGCAGGCAGTCTGTCGGAGTAGGGAGCCGATCTTGCTGTGAGCAGCAGCTTCCTGGGAGAAAGACTTGCTAACTTTGCAAACGAGTCATTTGGCGTGGGGAGCACCTGTCGTGGAGCAGTTTCGGATGCGCTTTATAAAAAAACCCTAAACCCTGAACCCAAAAACGCCCTACAACCCCGCTCCTCCCTCTGGGGCCCCACGCCGGAGGATGCGAAGATTGTGCTCATTGACGATCCTTTCGCCTCGGTGGATGGTCCGACAGGCCATGCCCTCTAAGCACGGAACCCTCGAAACCCTAAACCCTACAACCTGAAGCCCTAAAAACCCTAAAAACCCCAAAGCCCTAAAACCCTAAAAACCTCAGAAACCTTAAAAACCCTAAAACCTTAAGCCCTTATGAACCCTAAAAACCCTAAACCCTAATGAGAATTAGGGTATGATGCAAAAAGGGACTGAAGCCCTCAACTTCTGCGTTTTGAGGCTCCTGCCCTGTGCCAACGGAGACTACGGAATGATGACGTAGGACTGTAGCCCAAGACTCCAGGGAACCTAAAATTGGAATGGGGATTCCACCACGGTATTTAGGGTTCGTATACTAGGGTTTAGGGTTTCGGGCTAGGACCCAGAGTACGTAGGGCCTTATTCCCTGTTTTAGGGTCTATAGCTTCCCTTATAAGCCCCTTTAAACCTAAAGGGGCTTTATTTCCTGCTTGCTGTTGGGTCTAGTTAAATTAGAATGCGAGATTCCACCATTTTAAGGAACTTTCCGTGCATGCGGAGTCTTGGAACTACGGGAGAAGGATTGGAGATAGTTCTCCGTGAAGTGCGGTTTTTCTTTTTTTTTGGGGGGGGGGTGGGGGGGGTGGGGGGGGTGGGTAGGGGGGGGAGAGGGGGGTGGGAGGGGGTGGGGGGGGGTCACCACCCCCACCCCCGCTTCACCCACCCCTCCCCCCCCCCCCCCCCCAACGCACATCCCCGCAACTTCATTTCAAAATAATTCGACTTCATTAGCAGCACTTCAAGTTCAATGAACAATAGGCGAAACTACTTAATGTTCATTCGAAGCAATTCAGTATAATGATCATAAAAACCCAAAAAACACAATACCTGCTTTGCAATTGATGTTTTCATCATTTTCAATCAAAAACATTGAACATGTGATTAAATGGTGAAATCACTTGTTTTCCAATTTTTCAGGTGATTTCAGTATTTGGTCACTTTGTCAATATTTCTTTATTGAAAATGTTTCAACACCGCGCTAAATGGCGAATTCTCGGATTGGAGCCATGGTGGCTTTGTGCTAGTCTGTCAGCCCGTGTGTGACCCCAAAGGGTCCATGTACCTATGTAGTTTATACTTGGGCCTTAAGGGGTTCCGACACAGCACCTTTTTAAGTACATGGACCCCTTGGTGATCTGACTCATCCAGCTGAAGTATTTAGACGCCTCACTGTTCTTGAGCAGTGCTCATATTTCAACAAACGGTTGGGCTCTTATGGGCGCTGGTAACCTATTTGGTGAGTTCTCTAAATAAGAGTCCCTCTTGGGTAACGACCCCAAGTAACAGGGGCCGCCTGAGAACAATAACCCCCAAAAGGAACCATATTTTAGAGAAGTGACGGTTTCGTAGGTCCTGTCGGGTTTCCGCCGCGTCGCACATCCTCTCGATGCAAAACGCACTGAGGTCAACACATCTTCACTGAGTTGACTTGGCTGCAGTTTAGGGTTTAGGGTTTAGGGTTTAGGGACCCCAAACCCTAAACCCTAAACCCTTTCAGTAGTCGTGTGCCCTGGAAGCTGCTGCCACAGGTCCACATGAGCTTATTCCCTGTCCAGGGTTTAGGGTTTAGGGTTTAGGGTTTAGGGTTTAGGAAACCTGTTGTCAGACATCCCTGAGGCTGCTGTTGGGGTCTGTCATGCGCGGCCGGCAGCTTGCTTGAGACCAGCTTTAGGGTTTAGGGTTTAGAGTTTAGGGTTAGGGTTTAGGGTTTAGGGTTTAGGGTTTAGGGTTTTGCTTGATTTCTCATGAATAGCTTGAGGGATCCCTGCTTCTCACTGCGATTTCCTGACCATTCCCGGCCGACTCCCCAAGCCCGGATGCAAAAGGGTTTAGGGTTTAGGGTTTAGGGTTCAGGGTTTAGGGTTCAGGGTTCAGGGTTTAGGGTTTAGGGTTTTTGGGTTTTGGGTGGGTGTAGGGTAGGGTTTAGGCTTCTTTGCCACTATCTTTTTTTTTCAGAGGGCTCGGGTTCAGGGTTTGAGGTTTAGGGGGAAAGGGTTCAGGGCAAGCGGTTTAGGGTTTAGGGTTTAGGGTTTAGGGTTTAGGGTTTAGGGTTTAGGGTTTAGGGTTTAGGGTTTAGGGTTTAGGGTGTTTCTTTTTGCTGCAGCCGGGCCATCTTCGACTGGGTTTCTCTACAGGTTGCTGCATGATACATGCCATCCCCAAAGACCTACCAACCCTAAACCCTAAACCCTAAACCCTAAACCCTAAACCCTAAATACCAGGTGGGGGGTAGGGTTCTGGGCTCCAAAAAATTGGGGGGGGGGGGGGGGGGGGGGGGGGAAGGCGAGCCTTCGGGACATTCACAGCTCGTGCAGTTTCAGATTTGGGCCCTTTTTGTATTGGTTACGCTGCTGTTTTTAGGTACCACATAAACTGTCAAGGGATTCCAACAACGGTGAAGTATAGTAGTGAGCTGCTGGCTTAATGGAGGTTGGTTGCGAGCTTTGACTTATGTTGTCGTTGCAGGGGTAAGCTCCTCGTGTCGGGCGGGTTTTGGGGTTTTGGTTTAAGGGTCATAGCCCATCCAGGCTTGACGATTCGAATGCCTGGGAGAGAGCGAGAGGTTTAAGGACCCGAAACTCTTAGGGTTTGGGGTTTAGGGTTTAGGGTTTAGGGCAACGGCAGAAACTTAAATTAAGCCTTCTAAGCCCTGACCTTCAAGGACCCGCCTCGTGGTGACGCAGCCCTTTGGCCGTTGATGAAGTCCGCAGTTGAGGGTTCAGACGTTGGGTGTTGAGGGTTCACCCTAAACCCTAAACCCTAAACCCTAAACCCTAAACCCTAAAAGTTTAGGGTTTCAGTGTCGGGTTGAAGGCTGGGGGCTTTGCGGCCTCGAAGTTGCAGCTTGGAGGTTTCAGGGGAGATTCCTCAACCCTGTGGGTTCAGGGTTCTGGGTTTGGGCTGTTTCGGGCTTGGTTTAAGGGTAAGGGTTTTGGGTTTCCTTGGGCTTTGTTTTAGGGTTTAGGTTTTTGGGTTTTTTTTGTGCTTCTGTGTTTGGGTCTGCAGAACCCTAGGGTTAGTTTAGGGTATAGTGCATGGGTGCGGTATGTGTGGGCGCACGTATCGAGGCCGCAGGAGCTTGACAAGATGTAAGCCAAAAACCCTGACGTGGAGTCAGTGATGCAACCCTAAACCTTAAGCCCTAAAACCCGCTCCATTTCTGACGATGTAGTGGTAGCCGAGTTAACGCGCGCTTCGCTGAGCTATGCAGGTGTCCAAAGTCCCTTAAACCCTAACCCGTAGATCGTACTTCATGGAGCAGCTCACCCGATGTCATCTTAAAGAAGAGAGAGAGAGAGAGAAGAGACGGAGAGAGAGAGAGAGAGAGAGAGAGAAAAAGAGAGAGAGAGAGAGAGAGAAAGAGAGAGAGAGTGAGACAGGGAGATAGATAGAGAGATGGAGAGGGGCGGGGGGGTTGAGATGCACTGCAGGTGTTACCGCTTGGGGCTTGGGGGCTTATAGGGCTCCGGGCACTTGGGTCTTTACGGGTGTGCCCCTTACCTCGGTTAAAGCGTTCTGATGTATGGGCCCTTAATTCGTCTAAGGTATATGAGGGGTACATAAGGGGTATATAAGGGGTACCTTTTTAAGGGCCCATACTACGGGAGCATGCAACTATCCTTAGAGGGTCCCGAGGACTTCGGAACCGAAGCCCTGAGCTCCAACATCGCAAGGCCGGACCGTGCGCGCCTGCAGCACTTCGACCGCCTCATCCTCTTCGCAGCTGGGTCGCGTTCAGGGCTTGAGGGTTTGAGGGGTTTAGGGTTTTGGTTTTGGGGTTTTAGGGTTTTTGGGTTTTAAGGCTTTAGAGTTTTAGGGTTTAAGGTCTTGGGCCAGGGTTTAGGGCTTAGGGATAATCCCAGGCTTCTTGTCTATCGATACAGTACTATACTGGGTGAAGTTACCCCACATCAGGAGGCCCCACGACTTAGCAACCCAAGCGCGCAGCCCCCAGTCTAGGGTTTAGGGTTTAGGGTTTAGGGTTTAGGGTTTAGGGTTTAGGGTTTAGGGTTTAGGGTTCAGGGTTCAGGGTTTAGGGTTTAGGTTTTACAAGATCCATCGAGCCACGGGTGCCCAAAAGCCCCTAGTATACGACTGTTTGCTTAAGAACCCGCCCAAAAAAGCACAAGACTACAAATACCTATATTGCCCTGATGTGGAAGAGTATTCTTCATTCTTTGGGGGTTCTTAAGCAAATTGGGGAGTCAAGCCAAGAAGCATCAAGAAGTTTCGAGGAAGATGGCTGCGTGGTAGAGACTGGTGCCCCAGCAGAGGTGATGGTGTCCTGGCTTGCACGGATGACCGTAAACCCAAAACCCTAAACCCCAAACCCCAAACCCCAAACCCCAAACCCTAAACCCTAAACCCTAAACCCTAACCGTAGAGGGGAGAGTTGGGATGTTCCCCCTTATACTAACAGTCCCTAAGAGGGATTATAGTACCCCCCCCCCTACTAGAATCCCTATTAAGGACTGTTAGTTTATGGGGGAACATCCCAAGGGGAGAGTGTTGCTGTTCAGGCCTGGACTTACAAGGCATGATGCAGATTTTTGGGACGCGGAGGGCAGGGTCAGGCGTGCTCAATTGTCTAGCCGATGCAGTTTGCCAGTCTAAACCCCAACCCTAAATCCGAATCCTCAACCCTACATCCTAACCCAGAACCCTACCCCGCCCATTTGGTCGGCGTAGGGTTTGCGGGGGGGGAGTGTGAGACTGAGATACCTTTGTTAAAAAGGCTTGGGTGGGATCACTGCATCCACTGACGCACCCCTGGCGCCCCTAAACCCTAAACCCTAAACCCTGTCACAAGGAGACGGAGGCCTTCAAGCGCATCCAGCAGGAGCAGGTCGACGATGATGACGAGGACATCGAGGCCTTTCTTATTTTGGACTTAGGCGGTTTAGGCGGTTTAGGGTTTAGGGTTTAGGGTTTAGGGTTTAGGGTTTAGGGTCCTCACTTGCTTTGCAACACCTTCTGAGATTCCGGGTTTAGGGTTTAGGGCTAGGGTTTAGGGCTTCGGGTTGTGCTCAGCAAAAACAAAATGAGAGATAACAATCCCTACACTGCCCTTGTAAGGAAGTTTTGTTTGTGTTTTTTTGGGGAGGGTCTTAAGGAGTTAGTAGATCATAGGGGACTTGTAATTCCTTGCTTTTGTCAAATGGGGGTTAGGGGTTCAGGCTGTTCTACGCATTTTTGTTGGGCATCTGTAAGGAGAAACGAATGTAGTAGAACAACCCTAAACCCTAAACCCTCAACCCTGAACCTTCACGAAACCTCTGTGGTCCGGGAAACACGAAGTCTGCACAGACCACGACACGATCCCGATCGACAGCGATGAGCTTGCACTGCGCTGTGGAGAGTCGGAGGACAAGCAGCTTGACGAGGACCTTGTTGGTGCGACTACAGATGACAGGCCCCAGCAGAAGGCCAAGAATCTTCAGAATGAGTCGCCGAGTTTAGGGTTTAGGTTTTAGGGTTTAGGGTTTAGGGCCGACGATGGCCAACGCCCACCGAGCGCGAAGCCCACCTTATAGCACCCTTATACCAGCAGTCCTTTATGGGGATTAGAGTTCCCCTTATCATAATCCCCTAAACCCGAAACCCTAATCCCTAAGACCACAAGACCCTCAGACCCGAAACCCCTAAACCCCAAAACGCCCTTAATATTCGGGACTGTTAGAAAACGGAGGAATATCCCCATGTAGGTGCTCCTCCTCACACTCCAGAACGTCCTAAATCCCAAACCCTAACCCCCCCCCCCCCCCCGGAAGCAGGTAAAAGCGGCTCCTGCCTGCGAGTCACCCCAGAGCGTGTTGCTTGCCCAGCATGCCAACGACGAGGGAGGTGCGCTCGGTTTAGGGTTCAGGGTTTAGGTTTTCTAGCTTTAGGTTCAGGGTTTAGGGTTTAGGGTTGCTAAACCTCCAACACGGCACTTCTTCAGTTGCAAGTTAAGAATCCATCAGCTGCCGACCCGCCTGACCCCCTCAAAGCTCTCGCTCTCAACTCCACAACTACAACCCTAACCCCTGAACCCTGAACCCTAAACCTTAAACCCTAAACCCTAAACCCTACCCATGAACCTCCAACTAAATTCCGGATCTTCAGAGGGTGACCTCAACCCTAACTTAGCAGCTGAATGAAGTACACTCAACACTTTTTGGGATACTATCATCGCTTTTCGAACTGCAAGTGTGCACTTGTTGGGGGCTTGTGAACTCAACAACTAAGGCTCCACTTCCCCCCGACTCACCTTAAACAATTCTGGGTTGCGCTTTGGGAAACCCTAAACCCTAAACCCTAAACCCTAAACCCTAAACCCTAAATCCGAAACCGAAATTTGTTACATTTCCCTTCTTCCCTTATAAGGAAACCTATGTTTTTTTCCCAGGGTTTTTTTTAAGCACAGCTCAGAGAATAGCACAGGTCAATACTGCAAGGGCTGCTGCAACAACTTCGCGAGCCTCGGGACGGTAATTCTCAGGGTTCCGTCGTGCCCCTCTTTAGGTCCCCTATAGAAACACGGCGCACCCTTATAGAAAGGAACCCCCCCCCCCCCCCCCCAAAAGGCACTCCGAACCCTAACCCTAAACCCTAAACCCTAAACCCTAACCCTAAACCCTAAACCCCTAAACCCTAAACCCGAGGAGCTACCCCATCTGGAGGTATGATTCTTCGTGAGGAGGAGGTCCAGGAGAACATTACCTGGGACTCGATCTGGTGGTGGCTAAAAGCAGCAGGTTCCTCCGGGGGAGGGTTTAGGGTTTAGGGTCTAGGGTTTAGGGTTTGGGGTTGGGGGGGGGGGGGGGGGGGGGGGGGTCAAGGTAAGGGTGCAGTGGTTTTGGGGTTTTTAAGCTCACCACGCGCCTCCGACTGACTTTGTTAGAGATTTACATTCGGGAGGGTCGCACGTGTGCGCAGTTCGCAGATTCTGGCCGAACGCCGGTGGCTGTACCCACTAGTTCTAGGATGCCCAGTAGTACCCTTATTCCCTTTTTGGGGGGTTTAGGTTCCCTTATAAACCCCTTTAAGCAAAAAAGGGCACCCTTTTAAAGCCTAGGTTACTGGGCAGCCTAGAGTTGTTTTGCACCTAGGAAGATTTTTTCGGGTCATGGCGGGTGGAGGGGGTTGGTCTGCAAGAATTTGGCTGCTTGTCTAGACTCTGTCAGACCAGTGAGGACGAGGATGCCCTCTTTGGGGTTTAGGGTTTAGGGTTTAGAGTTGAGGGTTTAGGCTTTAGGGTTTAGGGTTTAGGGCACTTAATTAGTGAAGCGCATCCTGTGCTTGAAGCCCGGGCGATAGACCACATGCTGTAAAGGGTCTTTTGGGGCAGAGGTGGTAACTTCAAGTTCGCTGTTTGGAGAGAAGGAGTTGTGGGGGGAGCCTAGGGCTTAGGGTTTGGGGTTTAGGGTTTAGGAGTTAGGGTTGAGGGTTTGGGGTTTAGGAGTTGGGGTTTAGGGTCTGGGGGTGGTTTCGGGATCAAGGGGCAAGAGTTTGATTCAGGATTCAGGCGTCACGCTTCAGGACTTCGGTTTGAGAGTTTTGGTAGCTTATTCCCCCCCCCCCCCCACATCTATTGCTGCAGCGGGCCGCTCGGAAGTCAGCCCCGCCTCTACATCACAAGGCCCTCTAAGTAGCAGTCGTTGGCGTCTTTCTCGCCCAGGTCCGCTGAACCTTCTTCTGCTCTTTGGAACCGTGGCGCTGCAGGCCATCGTTGCAGCTTGTCTCAAGACGGTTTCTGTTCCATTGCATGACAATGCATTGCGCCGTTTTTGCTTTATACTACATGCCGCTATAACATGTAAGATGTTCAGATCTGTTATTCTGATAAGTTGTTCGCCACATGGGGGCTTCGGGCTTTGTTGACTCTATCTAGACTCTCACCCTAGACCCTAAGCTTAGCAGTACAGTAGGTGGCCGTTAACCTTGTTGCAGTATTAAAATCCCTATAAAGGCCCTATAAAATTCCAAAGGCCAACCTCTAGTTCCCCTAGCCTACCGGACAAGTACCCCAAACCCGAAACCCGAAACCCTAAACCCGAAACCCTAAACCCTAAACCCTAAACCCGAAACCCTAAACCCTAAACCCTAAACCCTAAACCCTCTATTCCTTCCATTCTGAGGAACTCAGAGAGAGCTTGGTCTTGGCGGTCTGGATTGATACCAAGGCTGACGGGAGCTGGTGGGCCAAGGAATCGCCACAATAATTGGAAGGGGTAGGATTTAGGGTTTAGGGTTTAGGGTTTAGGGTTTAGGGTTTAGGGTTCAGGGTTCAGGGTTCAGGGTTTAGGGCTTAGGGCTTAGGGCTTAGGGTTTAGGATCGTTACTGGCTTTAAGGTGTATGTGTGTATACATACATTTATATACATATGCAACTTTAGTTAGGGTGTATCGGGCTTTAAGGTCTATGTATATTTGATCCCGGTTCTCGGTTCGACCCGCCCCCCTCCCCACCCCCCATGGCATGGTCTTCCCCACCCAAAACCCTAACACCCTAAAACCCCAAACCCCAGAACCAACCCGCAACCACACCGCAGAGGGGGGGGGGGAACCCTAACCCCCCTAACCCGAAAATCTAAACACCCTAAACCCTAAAACCAACCCACAAGCACACCACAGGGCGGGAGGGGGGAGCGTTGGGAGTGGGGGGGGGGGGGGGGGGCAGCCCGCACCGGTATCGTATATGTGTATATATATATATACACATGTTTTATCTATTGTCTCGTTCTTAAGGGGGTATACGGGCTCCATGGGTATAGGGGGTCCTTGAAATTTTTCGGGATGCCAGGTCGTCACTCTGAAAGCCTCACGCTCCCAGAGCAGCAGCACTAAACCCTAAACCCTATGTTTTCATCAAAACCCTAAACACTAACCCTGAAGCCTAAGCCCTAAACCCTAAGCCCGAATATTTAACCCAAAACCCTAAGCCCTAAACCCTATATACACAAAAGCCAATCTGCAGAAGACAGGGTTTAGGGCTGCTGGTCAAGGCACATGAATGCACGGGGTTGGCTACGAAGAGCATGCTCTGCGATAGTGCAGGGAACTACAAAGACCCTTTAAATCACCCGATGTAGGATGAAGAAGCCCTCAACCCGAAGCCCTAGCTAAGCGGCACAAACCCCAAACCCCAAACCCCAAACCCCAAACCCTAAACCCCAAACCCTAAACCCCAAACCCCAAACCCCAAACCCTAAACCCCAAACCCCAAACCCTAAACCCTAAACCCTAAACCCTAAACCCTAGTCTGGGAGGTGATGAATCCGGAGGTGCATGATTCCATCTTCATGCCGCTGGGACCATGGGGCTGATGGGGCTGGGGGTGGGGTTGCTAGAGCAGCTATAGGGTTTAGGGTTTAGGGTTTAGAGTTTAGGGTTCGGGTTTAGGGTTTAGGGTCTAGGGTTTAGGGCTGGAGGCCGGAGCCCTGCGCGTCAGAGAGACCTGGGGGCAAACAGTGTTTAGGGTTTAGGGTTTGGGTTAGCTTAAGGAACCCTCAAGTCACCATAGTTGCGTTTACCTTTGTGGCATCGTTTTCTTTAAGTTGTTCGGTGCTTCTTGCGCAAACCTGAGGTGGTTCAGAACAATAATACAGGGGCCTAAATCATTGGAATAGGGTTTTGGTCGACAAGAGTGATCACAAGGCCCCCCCCCCCCCCCAACTGCAAAAGAAGCAAGTCAGGTTTCGGGCTTCTGGAGAAGGCTACAGCAACCCGAAACCGCACCAACAACAAGCATCCTAAGCCCAAATCCCTTAAATCCCGAAGCCCAAGCTTATGAGCATTGCCGTGGGAGCCGAGACGACGCCTCGTCTTGGTGGTGGGCAGCTGCTGTGTGCCTTGATGGAATTTGGTGCATTTAGGGGATTACCACCTCCCTCCCCCCCCCCACCACCCCCTCCCACGCCAGGTCTAAATAGAGTTGTGAGGGTCCCAAATCGAGTTAGAAGTATATATGACTGAGGTCAGCGAGCGTTAAGAGCCTAAATGACTCCGGTCATCGTGCCTTCTAACTGTCGTTGGCGTCATGAGCGAGCCCTCCCTGATGTGTTTCGTCAAGGGACTACGGCTCTGACCCCGAAGGTTGAACCCGGAAAGGTTCCCCTGTAATTTTCTCCGAACATGGCCCTTATATTCCCTTGGAGGATCTTTAGAAAGGGTCCCCAAACCCAAGGATACCACCTTAGGCGCCCTGAGCCCATGAAACCCTGGACCCGTAGACCTTCAACCCGAATTTCCAACACTAGAAACTTCCTCCGCCCTGGAGTCCGAAACAAGCCTTTGAACCGCGGCACTTAAACCCCAAACCCGAAACCCCTAAACCCCTAAACCCTAAACCCCAAACCCCTGAACCCCTGAACCCTAAAACCCCCAAACCCCTAAACCCCTAAACCCCTAATTAAACCCCCAAAACCCTAAACCCCAAACCCTAAACCCTAAACCCCAAAACCCCAAAACCCCAAAACCCCAAAACCCCCCTGAACCGAGCTTTGGCCCACCCTTTTGTGCGAGGTCTGCATCATGCTGACCTTCTTCGCATCGGCGCACGTCGGCCTCACCTCGGCAAGGACTGCTTGTGTCAAGCAGTCCCCTAAACCCTAAACCATATCTAGTATATACTGTGACTTTTTAAGGGGTTCCCCGAATGTACTGGATAAGCCCCGTAAGTCCTCCAAGTAGGCTATGGGGGTTATAGGGTACAGAAAACATACTAAAGAGGGGTCCGCCTTCAAGGGCCCAGACTAAGGGACCTAAACCCTAAACCCTAAACCCTAAACCCTAAACCCTAAACCCTAAGGGACCATGTGACTGCCCTTGCGCTACAGTCAGCTTGGCAGCTCATGGGCTCTTCTTAAACCTCGCAGGAAGATCGGGGGTTTAGGGTTTAGGGTTTAGGGTTATGCGTTCTGCGCGCCGTGGGTTCTTTCTCCGACAAAGGATTTTGGCAGCATGGGGTTATTGGTTCCCCCCTGCTCCGAACATACAGACCCTGTCACGTGATTCTTCTTGGGTCCTTACCTTAGGGCTTGGGCTAACCCAAGAGCCTGTCATATTCATTTGGCCTCAAGCTTTGGGGGTGTATCTAACCCCCATTAAGGGCTTACCAGGACGGGCTATGAGGCCTTAGAATCCCCATAATCAACCGTACATAGGGCCTTTCTAAAGAGGTCATAAGGGCAGAATAGCCCATCCTGGTATGGTTCGGGGTTACTAGTGTCCGACCTTGCAAAACCCCTAAACCCTAAACCCTAAACCCCACAGGAAGCTCCACGAAAGTTGCGTCACGAGCCTCCTGCAGGCCCCGGTCGACAGGCCCGACGCGGTGGCTGTAGAAGGGAGCTGAAGGGTTTAGGGTTTAGGGTTTAGGGGCTTTATTGTAACTTCAGATCCTTAGCCTTTTTGCGGTTATGGCGTTTTTTTGTTAAAAATTTTGTTTATAAGTGCAGCCAAGTGAAGGGAAGGGTATCATCACTTGGTAGCCCAGTGGTGGTACCCTTTACCCTTTTTTTGGTTCTGGTTTCCCTTATAAAATAGCCAACCCAACAAAGGGTGCCCTCATTATAATATGCGGTGGCTTCCGTAGGGAAATGAAGGAATGGGGTATCATCAGCAATTTACTTACTGTTGGTTCGTATGGAATGGGGGAATGAGGTACCCTGTATCATTCCTTAAAGGGTATACGTAGTATTTTGGGCCCTCATTCCCTCATTCCCTGCTAACCAACAGTAAGTTTAGATGGTTACTCTCATTGCCACAATATTTGTCATTAATCGCGTGGTCACACTTAATGATCATATGTTTTGTCCTTATCACCTCATCACTAGCATGGTCACTTGTATCATTGTTCCCTTCTACAATTAAAACTCTCAACATGAAGGGTTTTTAGGGTTTAGGGTGAGGGTTTAGGGTTTAGGCTATAGGGTTTCGGGTAGGGTTTACGGTTTAGGGAGCCCTAATTGTAAAATGTTCAAGTGTTGCAAGTGCTTGCAAGACTGACAAGCTTACGCAGGTTTTTTGACAAGCAGCCCGTTGGCCGCCTCATCAATCGCCTGTCCTACGACATGAAGCAGGCGCCGTGGGATGAAGCCTAGGGTTTAGGGTTTAGGGTTTGGGGTTTAGGGTTTAGGGTTGAGGGCCACCGAGACTTTCAGGGTCTGGGCTTTGCTGGCTTTCTCTCCTAGACCTCTGAATGATGTTGGTAATCTGAAAGTTTGTACCCTAAACCCTAGACCCTAGACCCGAAACCCGAAACCCTAAACCCTAAACCCTTAGCCCTAAACCCATTTTTTTGCAACTCGCGATATGAGCCCTAAGCTGAACGAGACACCATGCCCATTGTCAGGTGGACGAGACGCTTGTCAGGGCCTTACAACCACTGACCTTCGGCTTTCGGGTGTTGATTGAACCCTTGGGGTTTATATAGGTTTCAGGGTTTTAGGCTGACAAGGCTGACGCTGCTTCTTGATGCATTTACCCTGGTGTGGCGGGGTCACATGGAGCCAGAAGCTCACTGGGAGTTGCTCTTGACGGACTTACATTTGGCCCGCACTATGGGTAAACCCTAAACCCTGCACCCTTTGCTTTTGTAGGTCTTATTTTGTGGCGGTCCACACCCGCCCCGCTCGCCGAAAGCCCCCTTAAGGCGAAAACCACGCTTTGGACGTTTGGAGTTAGAAGCTGCTCAGTATCGAGAGGTAGACCACAGCCCTTGACCTCAACCAGACCTTTTGCTCCCAGACCCTTCAATTCGGGGTGAGGTGCGGGGCGATGATGCTGGAATAGTTAGTTAGGGGGCAGGCTCGAAGGCAATCAATACTTCTCGTCGGGACACTCGCAGTGTGAATGCCCAACCGGTAACCTTGCCGGTTCTGTCATAGGGAGTTCGGGTTAGAGGACAGGGAGATACCATGATGGGGGCTTTAGAGGGTTGATGATGGCCGCTCTACGGGCCAAATAGCCCATCTTGGTATACAAGGTACCTAGAGTTCCACACCATTGAGTACCCTTATTCCCTTCTTGTTTTGGGGGCTCCATACTACAATTGAAAAGTAAGACACAGGGTGCCCTGATTCTTAAGGAGTTCCTGGGGAACCTAGATAAGGTACCTAGAGCTCCCCACTGAGTATACTTGGAGGTTCATGGTACTTACTAACCAATTATAACTGTACTTATAACCCTACTTATAATACCCCTAAAGGGCCTTATAAGGGGTTATCCCACTTGTAAGTAGGGTTATAAGCCCAGTTATAATTGGTTAGTAAGTACCATGAACCTCCAAGATAGCGAAGCTCTCGAAGGTGGCGACAGGCCTGACCATGGCCCAATTCTTTGCGGGGTTTATGACCACGCAGACCTTCATCCTGCTCCGTGGCTGATTAGGGTGGGGGATGAAGCACTTTGTTCAGGGTCTAGGGTTTAGGGTTTAGGGTTTAGGGTTTAGGGTTTAGGGTGCTAGGCTCAACCTTCTACAGAAGGTGCAACCCTCAGCCCCTAAACCGTGAGAGTTTTATAGCCATGCGAAGCCGTGACGCCAAACATAGAGGCTCCAGAGGACGTCTGGCCTCGGCATGTCATGAACCCACACCCGTCGTCGCAGAATGTGACTTGCTGCAGTGGTCACTGATTTACCTCAAGACAGGGTTTAGGGTTCAGGGTTTAGGGTTCAGGGTTCCTACTGAGCTCTGCAAGAAGCAGTGCTTGGTGGTCCCAGCTGATGCTCAGAGCCTGGGTTCAAAAAAAGGGTTCAGGCTTGGGGGCTTATAAGGGTTCAGAACAGCACGAGACCCGATCCCAAAGACTGGCCACTTTGCTGAGGTCGGTGATGCCTCGCCTCTCGCTTGATTCTGAAGTGGGTATTTCATAAAAATGGGGGCACCCCATCTATACCCCCAATAGAATAGAGTCCCCCTTAAAGGGAACCCCCCAAAAGGGTGCCTCCATTGTCGCAAACCCTAGGTAGGTTTGCTCCTTCTGGGTTACTTTGGGTGATGTTGCGACCACGGCTGTTGCAAGCCTTGACTCTACGGCTGGCATGGAGGTGTGCTTGCAGCCCGTAGCAGCAGAAACATGGTCGCTTCATGGCTCACATTGCCCTAAACCCCAACCCTAAACCCCAAACATTTCTTGGTCTGTGGGCAGCTAGGCCACACCTTACGGCTACACTCAAAACGCTAGATCAGATTTGAGACGTTGGGCTGTTGAGAGGTCGTGTGACCATCGCAGCTCTCCCTGTCTACGCTGCGACGTGCCTCGCCTTCTGCGAGATGGGTTTTCATTGGGTGTAGGGTTTGGCGCACTGTCAGCGATGACGCTCAAGAAAGCGATAGCGCCACAGGATTTCTTTAACGTTGAGGCCCCCATTTTTTCAGACGCAGAACCCAACACTCTGAGGGCACCCTGAGTCTCTTACTAACTGCACATTTTTTCAAATGCTGTGTTGCAGGCCTAGGGCCAAGCCAAAGGTAAATCGAGACAGGCAGGGAGCTGGATCTATGACTACTGTTTGCCTGTTTGCTTAAGAAGTCCCAAAAAACATGAATATTCTTGCCTACAAGGGTAATGAGGGGAGTATTCACTTCTTTCTTGGGGGGTTCTTAAGCAAATAGTAGATGATTGGGTGTTGAGAGGGTTTGGGCAGGTCTGGGTGGGGTTGCCACCAGGCCAAGGACGAAATTAACAACATGACTCCCTCACGCAGGGAGAGCCGAAGATCGACTTCTGAAGAAAGAGGATGGCTGCAACCCCCAGCCTATCGAGGGTGTGAACCCTAAACCCTAAACCTTAAACCCTAAACTCAAGGCGTGCTGCACATGGCAGCATAGCATCCCAAGTTGCCATAAGCTGGCCCCTCGCTTCTTGACGCAACCGCCACGTTGCACAACCATACTACACACCTCACACGATCAAGCCTTTCCGCTACAGAACACTACTAACCTACAAAGCCCACAGGGTCCATGTACATATATAGTATATGCTTGGGCCTTAAAGGGGTTCCTATACAGTAGCATCAAGGGCCCAAGTATATACTACAAAGTCACATGGGCTCTTCGGAACCTACAAAGTACACCCTAAACCCCAAACCCTAAACTCCAAAGCCTAAACCCTAAACCCCAAACCCTAAACCCTAAACCCCAAAGCCTAAACCCTAAACCCTAAACCCCTCTGGGAAGGATGTACTTCATCTACCTCTACCGTGGTACGGCCGTCCCTCTGGTGTTCCACTCGAAGCACGCGCTGTCCAGCGTGCAGGACCTGCAAGCGGCTGCTTGACATCGAAGTAGGAGTCTCCCATAGGGTTCAGGGTTTAGGGTTTAGGGTTTAGGGCTTAGGGTTTGTTATTCCTAGGCTACTCTTGGGTCTAGTTAAAGCGTAGGTGGCGGGCCGAGAAGCCCTAAACCCTGAACCCTGAGCCATAAACGCTAAGCCCTAAACCCTGTCTTGGAATCGGAGGGAGGAACTTGCGCGGTATTGGGTGAGTTTTTCTGCCACTGTGATACTGTTGGATCCCTGCTGAGTGGTTCGACCAGCTATGCGGTGCAATACAATCCGTATTCGGCTTTGGGTACCAATCGGAGAGCCGTTTAGTTCAGGGTGTAGGGTTTAGGGTTGAGGGTTTTGCAAATTTCCAAGAAGTGAGAAACTGACTGCCTCCGAACTTCTCCCACCCCAAGTAGGGCAACAGACTAAAGGCCAGTCACCCTAAACCCTAAACCCTAAACCCTAAACCCTAAACCCTAAACCCTAAACAAAAAAAAAAACGGTCTCTTACTAGGCTGGCCCTTGGGATGTCTTGTTCTTTTTGGGGTTGAAGCAGGGGGGGGGGGGGGGGGTGCGAAACCAGGAGATGTTTGTCAGAGGGCTTTAAGGGCGAGGGCTTTAAGGGCCATCAAAGCTTAGGTTTTGGAGCTGGGTTTAGGGTTTAGGGTTTAGGGTTTAGGGTTGGGTTTTGCTCAAGCCCGGCTTTTCCAGATCCCGCTCGGAGCTTCAAGGATCTAGGGCTGAGGGTTTAGGGAGTGGGGGCGTCGGTGGGTTTAGGGTTTAAGGTTTAGGGGTTTAGGGTTTAGGGTTTAGGGTTTAGATTAGCGCTTCGACAGTTTTTCCTGAGCTTAGGGGGTTTGAAGGATCAGGGGTTTGGGGGGTGTTGAAGCTCCAGGGTTATTATCGGGCCCGTTGGACACCCAACAGCCTTATTTTAGAGTTTAGGGTTTGGGGTTTAGGGTTTAGGTTTAGGGTTTAGGGTTTAGGGTTTAGGGTTTAGGGTTTAGGGTTTAGGGTTTAGGGTTTAGGGTTTAGGGTTTAGGGTTTAGGGTTTAGGGTTTAGTCTCCCTCAGCTCCGCAAGCCAGTCGCTCCAGGTGGTCGTTGGCCAGTGCGTGTCCATCCGTGCCAATGGCATGCTGGACACGTTATGTAGCTGTGTGCGTCAAGGGCTGACCTAGGCCGCCTATTGGTTTAGGGTTTAGGGATTCGGGTTTAGGGTTTAGGGTTTCGGTTTAGGGTTTTGGGGATTAGGTTTAAAGGCCCTCGTAATTACACAGAATGCCTGCGCACTCCCCTGTTTTGGGTTCACATACGCTTACTGCAGGATGTAAGCACAGCTCATGGGCCTGGATCTGGGTAAGAATTTGCAAGGGCGTAAAAGGTTAGGAACTCACCCTTGAACAAGCCCCAGCGTGCTTCAGCCACAATCCTATAGTCTAAGCAACAAAACGGGCAACCCCCGCAAAACCCTCCGCAGAGGACCACGATGGGCATTGCACCCTATATGCCCTTCAAAAAGGCCATTTATAGGCTATAGGGTTGGTTATGAGGATTGCGAGGCCTCATTGCCCATCCTGGCATACCCGGTAATCTAAAAGCCCTGAACTATTTGATGTCTACATGGCTAAAGTAAAGGAGCGCTGTTTCCTGGCTGTCGGTGATTCACTTTGCTTAGGGCTGCTATAGGGATGCGTTTCCCTTGCCATGCAAAACATGTAGTGAGGGGATCTGTCACCAAAGTCATTTAGGGGCTCGGGATTTTTAGGGTTCAGGGTTAGGGCGTGGGGGGTAAGTAATCGCTGCTTGCTTCGGAGAACGCAGCAAGGGGCACCTGGTATCTGCGGCTATGCGGCTAGATCCTGAATGTTGCCTCGTAGGTGTTATTAAACCCCCCTAGACCCTAGACCCTACACCCTAAACCCGAGTTTGAAAGGACAGCTTCATGAAGCGATACAACCACTACTCCCACAGCGTGATTCGGTCACAGCATCCTTTTCGCAAGTCCAGGCTTGGTGTGCAGGTTGGGTTTATCTGAAGGCCCGGTGCTTTTCACTTCTAAACCCTGACCCCAGCTGGACCTGAGACGTTCGCACAGCAGGGTTTGGGGTTTATAAGGTTGAAGGTTTACCGTAAGGGTCCAAGTCATTGCATACTTGTGCCCTAAGAGTCCCTATAAAGCAAGTACTTTACTGCCCAAGTATTCCCTGTTTAGGTACATGGTCGCTTGGGGTAGGGTTTAGGGTTCAGGGGACGGGCCCCTATCCGGGAAGTGGAATGCCTGTGAAATCATGAGAATGAACCCTGTTTTCCCTGAGACGAAGAGGATCCCGAAAACCCTAAACCCTAAACCCCAAGCCCCAAACCCTAAACCCTAAACCCGGCAAAAAATCTTGACGTTAGAGTGGGCTCCAACCCGCAAGAATCTAAGAGAATTTATATGGGCCCTTGATAATCATTGTCCCCTACCTCCTTTACAGGGTTCTGAAGTATTGGCCCCCTTTGGGTTGTATAGGGTATATAAGGGGTATATAAGAGGTGCCCTTTTAAGGGTCTATAGGCGCCCATGCGGCTTCCCTAAGATAGAAGCCCTAAACCCCGTGAGCCTAGGGTTTAGGGTTTAGGGTTTAGGGTTTTAGGATTTAGGGTTTAGGGTTTAGGGAGACATAGACTGCTACATGGGCTCTCTCCCAGAGAAAGAGAACTGCGTCTTCGTTAAGGAGCATACCTCATGTCATCGCAATGGCCCCCCCCATGTCGTTTGAGGCATATTCCTTCATGCAAACTCTTTTTGAGGCTCTCTCATTCGCAACAACCCTAAAGCCTCAACCCTAAACCCGAAACCCTAAAGCCTAAACCCTAAAACCCGAATAGAAGGACTTCAAGTGCGCCGCATGCCATTGGCTGCATCGCAACTGCTACACCTGAGAACCGATCCCTAGATTCTTGTCCCCTACGCGCACCGCCTCAAACCCTAAACCCGAAACCCTAAACCCTAAACCCTAAACCCTAAACCCTAAACCCTAAACCCTAAACCCTAAACCCTAAACCCTACCTAACTGCTGTACGCCCAGGTACCTTATCTTCTACATCTGCCGGGCCTGGGCGCAATCCCGGGCTCGGGCCTCGGAGCTGCTTCTTAAGCCTAAACCCAAACACGCGAGGGTTTAGGGTTTAGGGTTTAGGGTTTAAGGTTTAGGGTTTAGGGTTTAAGGTTTAGGGTTTTGGGTTTAGGGTTTAGGGTTTAGGGTTTAGGGTTAAACCCCAAACCCTAAACCCTAAATGGTGAGCTCGCCCAAATGACGGTCTCGTTTGAGGTCGTTTTTGGAGTATAGCCCCTAAGGTACCCCAAACGGGCCCATATTCTAGAGAACGGACCACACAGGGAGACTTGTTATGTTTTTAGTGCATTGCTTAGCTAGGGGGTTTGGGAGCCATCAGAAAAAATGAGGCATCCTAGAAGTCGGAGAGCGTCCCCTAACTAGAGGGTTTTGGGTTTCAGGGTTTTAGAGGTTTAGGGTTTTGGGGTTTTGGGGTTTTGTTTTGCTGTTTTGCGGTTTTGCGGTTTTAGGGTTTAGGGTTCAGGGTTTGGAAGCCCTCATACGGAAACCTAAGCTCATTGCTCGTGATCTTTTGCCAAATCCATTCTTCGGCAATCCCCATAGCACTGCATGTGTAGAGGCTCCTTATGCTTTCACAGGCGCCTAACTTCTTCCGTTCCACCAACCCGAGGCTGGTAGACTTAGTAGTAGAGTAGGCAACCTTTAACCCTTTTTAGGGTATTCTAATCCATAAATAATCCCGAGTTAACCTTTACTTCTACCAGGTTACTGGACAGCTAAGTAGAGGCGTGGGCGGGCTTGAGGTTGAAGTTTCAGGGGTTTGCCTTCTGTTTTTTGAGGGGTCGCAACCTGCACAAGGGGTTTCTGTCGATCCCCCCGTCAACCCTAGACCCTAAACCCTAACCCCTAACCCCCCTAAACCCCTAAACCCTAAACCCTAAACCCTAAACCCTAAACCCTAAACCCTAAACCCTAAACCCTAAACCCTAAACCCTAAACCCTAAACCCTAAACCCTAAACCCTAAACCCTAAACCCTAAACCCTAAACCCTAAACCCTAAACCCTAAACCCTAAACCCTAAACCCTAAACCCCCTAAACCCTAAACCCTAAACCCTAAACCCTAAACCCTAAACCCTAAACCCTAAACCCTAAACCCTAAACCCTAAACCCTAAAACCCTAAAACCCTAAAAAACCCTAAACCCTAAACCCTAAACCCTAAACCCTTAACCCTTACCCGCCCCAGGTGTTCCTGTGCTTCGGCGCCCTCACGTGCCTTTTGGCTCTTGGTGGCCTCTGGGGCGGAGTGTCTCTGGGTACTTTGGCCACGGTCGTGGGCTGCTGGGCGCGATCTTAGAAGAATCTCTTGGGGTTTAGGGTTTAGGGTTCAGGGTTCAGGGTTTAGGGTTTAGGGTTTAGGGTTGAGTCCCCTCAGCCCAGGAGCCCTAATCCTACACTACCCTCTATCTCCCAAGCAAGATTGACTATCATTCCCCCCCCCCCCCCCCCTTTCCCCCTCATCCTCCCCCCAAGAAAACAAACAATAATTGAGCATAAAGGCCTGAACCCCAAGACCCCAAGACCCCAAATCCTGTCCAACAACCCTTAGTTATAATATGGACTATTCCTTGAAACATAAGAGAACTCCTTGTATCCTTTAAGGAGTATTCCTGAATTAAGGGTATTGGCGTCTCAAACCCTAAACCCTAAACCCTAAACTTGCCTGCCTTGTGCGAGTGCGAGAGCCGAAACCCTAAACTCCAGGTTTCTGCTTCTTCCAGATGGGCTCCTTCGAGGGCGTGTCAGAAGCTGAGGGGCCTAGGGACTCCCATTCCGCCTGAATTGTAACCTAAGTGTTTAGGGTTTAGGGTTTAGGGTACATGGGCCCTTAATGTGGTGCCGGGTTCTGAAGTAATTATGGCCCCTGGAGTTGTGTGGGGTTTTTACGGGGTACCATTTGAAGGGCGGGGAGTTATTGAGGGATCATGTAAGTACCTTCAGATATAAGGAAGTTTCCTGAGGGCTTAGGGTTTCGGGTAGCTGCTGAAGAACTCCCCAAACAATGCAAGTTGTCTTCCTTCTATGGGCAATATGGGGGGGTTGTTATTCTGTGTTTTTTTGGACAGTTCCTCAGCAAATATTAGATGAAGGAAGACTCCTGTACTCCGTAAGTGAGAGTGGAGGTTCTAAAGTTTGAATCTAACTGCAAAACAAAGTCTTCCCCAAATTGCTACAGGGACCCTCATTACGATTTCAAGATTGTGCCTTGCGGAGTTTTGGAGGCTTCGCACGGTTTAGGATCCCAAAGGGTCTTGTGTGTGCGTATGGGCACAGCTTTCGTTTCATGCAGACCTTGTGCAAGAACAAGCTGTTTGTGTGGTGTTCTGGGCAAAAGTAGTGAACTGGGGAAAAGTTGAGGTTGGGTATCTTTTGTTTGGGGCTGTCAAAACAGATTTCAAAACAAAATTAAGTAAAACCCAAAAAATATATATAACTTAACTGTTTTGGGCGCTTACCTCCCTGTATATGTAAGGCTTAGCTCACAAAAGTATTCATGGTAAAGAAGACAGATAGAGCCGAACAGCAGTATAGTGATAACGACACAAACATGTACAGTTGTCCACAACATGCGTATACAGACCCACACCCACACACACAGAGACACACACCCACACACCCACACACACACACACACACATGGTACACACAGACACACACACAGACAGACACAGACACAGACACACACACACACAGATCTAGACACACACACACACACAGACATGCACACACACACACACACATGCACACGCACACACACACACACACACACACACGCGCACACACACACGCGCGCACACACACGCGCGCGCACACACACGCGCGCGCACACACACGCGCGCGCACACACACACACACACACACACACACACACACACACACACACACACACACACACACACACACACACACACACACACACACACACCCACGCGCACACACGCACGCGCACACACCCTCGCGCACACACCCTCGCGCACACACGCGCACACACGCACACACACGCACACACACGCACACACACGCACACACACACACACACACACACACACACACACACAC